AGAGAAGAATAAAAAATCAAAAATTGAAAATTGTTCAATGTCTACAGATAAGGGAAATATTGATCCAAATGGCGAAGACGGAAAAATTGCCAAAGAGAACGATAAAGTTAATTCTCAATCGTATCTAATCGAACATATTTCGTATCTTAAAAAAGAAAACGAAGGCTTACGGCAACAATTAAATTTATCAGTTAATGAGATAACGAAGCTGCAAACGAAACTCGATCAAGTTTCATCTTTCGATTTAAACAAAATTTTACGAGGTATTGTTGATTCTGGAGAGACACTACAATGAAAGGCGTATCGCTTCAGAGTGTGAAAAAAATAAAATTAAAAAAGGCGCAAAAATTCCTCCATGATTATACCTTTTAAAAAGAATCGTTGCTTTTTTTGGGAATTTAAAATTCAAACACTAGTTTCCTTTATTTTTTTTTTACATTTTCAGTATTTTTTCATTTGAAAAATGTTTCAATAGAAAATGTGAATATATTTGAGGCTCCGGATCTTAAAAGGGCACACGCGCGAGCACACGGCAAATAAGTTGGCCCCTTTAGATAAAATTTTGAAGTTGTTCAAAATGAATTTTAAATTATTGTTTCTTGTACAGAATTTCAAGGCGAAACTTTTTTTCTAATAAAAATTTTTTATATAATTTCTCGTTTTCACGTAAATTGAAAAAAACGTGATTTTTTGAGTTAGGAAATTTTAATGAATTTTTGACTTCAACTCGTGACTACTTCGTTAAATATTAATATTTTTCTACGAAATTTACACACAATATTCTACAAACTATTCCAAGAGTGAAACAATATTTGGAAATTTAAAAAAAAATTGTATGTCAAAGTAAATAATTATTTAAATAATTTTGTCGGAAAAATGATTCTCCTATTTTCAATTGAAAAAGTTGAGTGACGAATTTTCGTTTTCGGAAAACTTTCAGCGACAAAAATGTTCATTAATATGTTAGGAAGTTTTTTGGAAAATATCTCGCCATTTGATAATAAATTAAAGTTAATAGAGCAATTTTAACATTGTCGCGCTCTGCTGTAAACGTAAACAATGTCTAACTATATGCATTGGTCTTGTAATGGCGGCCATGCTACACGTGCGCCGCCACGCCGCAATTTTACAGCAGAGCGCGACGATGTTAAAATTGCTCTATTGTCTTTAATTTATTATCAAATGGCAAGATATTTTCCAAAAAACTTCCTTACATATTAATGAACATTTTTGTCGCTGAAAGTTTTCCGAAAACGAGAATTCGTCACTCAACTTTTTCAATTGAAAATAGGAGAATCATTTTTCCAACAAAATTATTTAAATAATTATTTACTTTGACATACAATTTTTTTTTAAATTTCCAAATATTGTTTCACTCTTGGAATAGTTTGAAGAATATTGTGTGTAAATTTTGTGGAAAAATATTAATATTTAACGAAGTAGTCACGAGTTGAAGTCAAAAATTCATTAAAATTTCTTAACTTAAAAAATCACGTTTTTTCAATTTACGTGAAAACGAGAAATTATATAAAAAATTTTTATTAGAAAAAAAGTTTCGCCTTGAAATTCTGTATAAGAAACAATAATTTAAAATTCATTTTGAACAACTTCAAAATTTTATCTCCAGGGGCCAAATTATTTGCCGTGTGTTCGCGCGTGTGCCCTTTTAAGATCCGGAGCCTCATTTGTATATAATAATTACTATTAATATTGTTTTGTTTTAAAAGTAGCCTTATCAGTTTTATACTTTTTTGTTTAGAAAAATTCCTATATTTTTAAATTTAAAATTCAAGGATCGCATAAATTTGTTATTTTTATACTGCATTTGTAATGTTATAAATATATTTAAAGAATGTATTTTTTATGAAGTTTTTAATAAATGTATATAATAAAGTAATGTTTATAACTTTCTTGAAGGCATTGCTTCTAATTTCTAAAAATATTTACTCCAGAAGGCGCTTATTGTACACCTCCACGTTTCTGTGAGTATCTGCTGGAAGTAAAGAGATACAAAGAGATTAAAAAAAGGGGATAAAAAAAGATTAGAAAATATAATAGTTTGGAGATGCAAAATGGATACTTAAAAGAGATACAATTTTTTTATCTCTTTCTATAACTTTATATTTATATATCTTTTTATCCCTTCTAATCTCTTTATATACAGTTTTAGATATAGAAATATATAGAAAAAAATATATAGAAAGAGATAAAAAATTGGGGATGCAAAGTGGTGAATTAAAGAAGATAGAACTTTTTAATCTCTTTCTATTCATACATTTCTGTCTTCCTCTATCCATTTTCACATCCTTTCTAATCCAAAGGAAAGTAAAAAAGGAGATACCCCTTATAGAAGAAATCGATTAATTTCAATTAAAAACTTTCTCTATTGTTGTTAATTGAGTTTCTTAATCGTGTTGTTTTAATTCATTACGATTAACTATAAAAAATTTGCAAGTAAATCTTTAATACATTTTTAGAAAAGTTTCGATGCTTTGTGAGTTTAAAACTAATTTTGGTTGTCTATTACTGATAAACATTTATTGGTTAAATATATTTACAATAAACTATAAAAATATGGAAGTTATAAACTCAAACAAAAACGTACAATCGCACAGTGCATAACACACGCTTTCTGATCTACGGATCTACTGACCCGACGCCATGACACATAACAGCTGGGAAGATCGACGCATGCGCGTATAAGTTTATGAGTATGTATATAGAAAGGGATATACTATAGTAGATTAGAAGAGATAATCTTATTATATCTCCTCAAATCCCCATATTCTTAACTATCCCTATCTCTTCTAAATGAAGTAAGGAGATAGAATATGGGATTGAAAGAAGATTAAAAGAATAACATTCGGAAAAGAAGAATGATAAAAAGGAATAAAAAAGGTTTATAGTTTTGCAGTCTCGCATTTCTATCTTTTTCTATCTCAATAATGGGAATAATGGTAATAAATAAGTGTTAATAAGATCCTACATAAAAAGCGATGGAAAGGTATAAATAGGATATCAATAGTTATTAAGAAAAGGTTATAAATGTGGAGAAAGAAGAGTATCGAGAACTTCTGTCATAAAAAGAGATAGAAGTTTATAGACAGGTTATTAAAAGGTATTGAGAATAGGTTATTAATAGGTATAAAGAATAGTGTCTATAAGGTCTAACATTGAAAGAGATACAAGGAAATAGACAGGATTTTAAAAGTAATAGAGAAAAGGTGATTGAAAGGGATAACAAAAAGTTGTAATAAGATTGTATATAAAAAGAGATAGAAGGGTTTAAAATGGCTATTAAAAGTTATTCAAAAAAGGTGATTAAAAGAAATAGCGAACAAGTTGATAAAGGTAGGAATAGAAAGGCATAAAGAAGTATAGGTAGGAGATTAAAAGTTATACATTATTCATATCTCTTTCTATATTAGCAATAGAAAGGGATTAAAAGAGAAAAGGTTTCTATCTATTTACTTCCAGCAGGGACCGATGTGTTTTATGGTTTTACCTCCAAAGAGGGTCTACTTGAGAATTGAAAGACAGTTTTTTATGACATCTTTGGGGTTATCTCTCTTAGTTTATGGTTGACAATTGTGTTTGAGTTTTAAGGGTATATTGTCTTCAGAGTGACAATACACAAACTCATATTGCTGGAAATGTGTTTAAACCTTACTATTTTTTGTAGCGATAGGACCACGTTTCGTCTAAAAATGAATGCTATTCAATTCTTTTTGTAATTTTTAACAAAGACAAAATTTTTTTCTGAATGCTTTCCAATCCCATCCGAAATTATTACAGCCTGTCATTATATCACTTTTCAATTTTTCATTGGAACCGCGTTTCTGCATGCATTCAAGCAATCTTCTGGATTTTTGTAATTTATAAGATACATACAGTGGCAGATTTTGTAAAAAGTGTTTGTGTTCAAAGAAAAACTTGCTGAAAAATTGATTGTTTACCAATTTAACGTCATTTAAACGAGTCAGGGCCGTTATTCTGTTAGACAATAAATCATAACCTAAAAATTTCAGAGACCTTTAAACACTTTTAACCCTCTTAACTGATAATTTAATAATTATTCCTTTTTAAAATAGGATTTCACTACTTTCAATTGGCTTTAATTATTTTTTAAGGGAAAGAAAGAAAATTTATTAACAATTTTTCTACGACGACACCAAAAATTAGAATTTTCGTTGAATAAAAATTTGATATTTTTACCCTACTTTTGGATAAGATTTTCTGATTTTCCAATCTTACACGACAACTCCCTGATATTGTCAATATAATTATATTCATAAAAATGTATAAAAAGTACTTATAAGTCAAAAATATATTTTGATAAATATTTAACAATGAAACTAAATTTTTCTGCATAAATGGCCAAAACGGAATAGAAACGTAAAGTCCAACGCACAATAGATTCGCGAAAATCGTTCGCGAACAAGATGCATGAGATAGAAAAGGACACAACTACACGGAGAGAAAAAAAAGAGAGCCGTTTGATTTGGCAAGAGAGCGCTGTTTTCCCTTTATAAAGCGCAGCAGTAGCGCCGCAAACGTCGAACGGTTATACTTTTTGAGGAGTATCGGTTCTCTTCTCCACACAAATAGAGACGCTTACTTTCCAAAAAGTGTACCCGCTTTCCCCAAAAAGGAGAACCGTTCTCCCCTCGAGAGTAAGCAGCGTGCTTAACCTCAAGTTGAACGGCTGTTTCGCATTTAACGCAACCGCTCTACCGACAGGTAGAGCCGCTTACTTTTCTTTCTCTCCGTGTATATCTCTGTCCTTTTCTAACTCGTACTTTGCTTTCGTGAACGACTTTCGCGAAGCAGTTGTTCCGTCCAGGACGGAAATTCATTTTTTCATCTGTCTCTCTTACTCCAATGTAAATTTTTCGTTCTGGACAATTTTTACTTTAAGGGGTCCTTGGACCCTAGATAACAGTACATTTGCATGCTCCATCAAAATTACTAATATAGTTATAGTTCTATTATTTTCTATTCTATCTATGTTGTAAAATTCTGAGACATAGTGACAGAGTCAACTTTCAAGTCAGATTTTTCAGTTGTTAATTGTAAGAATTATAACGTTTCAGCCTGTAAGCAAGATAGTAACATTTTTTGCATTATATGCAATTATACATATATGACCCGTTCTGAAGAAGACCTAAGAAGAAATTGTAGATATACCGTAGCCGTAAGGCCGTAAGTATACATATCATTTAATAAAGGTTATGTTTGTATTTATTTTACTGCGGTTTTAATTTAATTATACGTTTTTCTTGATTGTTTAACAGTGAAATCAGTTCATATTAAATATTTTGTATGTCACAAAGACTTAAACATTAATGGTTTACAGTGAGTGTATTTATGATCCCCATTATTATGTACATTTTCATTAAAGAAAATTTACAACATCTTTTAAAACATTTAGCTTCTTACCTCCCTTTCTTGAGAATGCGTTACATATTTTCACTTTTCTTGGGTATTTTTAAAATTCTAATATTTCTCAAAATCGAGAATTCATAAATGTAATTTATTATTAATTTAACAAGTTGTAAATAGAAATTTCATGACCCTGAACATCGACCCTCAGCGACGAAAACTATTATTTGGAATATTTAGAGACTCTAATTTCACTTTTTATATTCACGTAGAGAATTTAAAAAACGTTCATATTGTATTGAAAATTCCATCTATCCTATATAATAGAAAATAACTAAGCTTTATGCTTTAAAACAATGTTTGTACGTCGGCATATTTACGTTAACAAATTGAACGTTTTTTAAAAGTTTGTTTAAAATATTTTAATAATATGACATTTAATCAAAAATGAGCTTTTATGTCCCTCAATGAGGTCTTTATTTTTATACACTTATGTGAACCTGTAAATATTAACACGTTTTATAAAATACTTAATACCTTAAAATTGTTCTTTTCATTTTGTTTGTAATTTGTAATTAGTCAGTAATAAAAGCAAAGAGAAACATTTTAGTGTTGCATAATTTTTTAAATTCATGGTTGAAAAAAGATTTTTTTTTGAGATATTGAGATTATAATTTAATTGTATTTTACACACGCGTGGACAATGTTTAAAAACACGTTTTTTTGGTCTTTTTAGGACAAATTAAATCGAAATGGTCCAAAAAATCACAATTGAAAAATTTCACCAATAAACACATTAAAACAGTATAGTAACAAAACTCCTCATTATCATTTAGTACTAAATTCTTCATCTATGAGGAAGCAATAAGAATTTGTTTAAATAGGTAATGAAAACTTTCTCATTTTTGTTATAGAATATTTAATTGGAGCTGTTTCTCCTATTTGGGACTGTAGATCACTATATCAAAGCTTCATTAAATTGTACTCGGATCTAGAAATTTGTTGTCATGGATAGTTCAAATAATTACGACGATACTTCTGACTACAATGAGTTGTTTCTCGCAGTCCATAATGGAGAATTAAATCTTATTCATTCTCTGCTCAAGAAACATTCGGCGACAGAAACGATAAACGGCAGGACGTTGCTGCATGTGGCGGCTGCAAGAGGACATGCAGAAATAGCAAAGACACTTTTAGGTAATGGAGCCACTATTGGGGTACAAGATATTAAGGGCAAAACACCGCTCGATGTTTCACTGGCGAAAGGAAACGTTCAAATCCCTATTGTAAAAGGTGACGTAAAAATTGACATAAAAAATGACGTAAAAAAGGACGTAAAATATGACGTAAAATTTGACGTAAAAAAGGACGTAAAAAAGGACGTAATTTTTTGGGATAAAAAATGACGTAATTTTTTACGTTAATTTTTAGTCACTTTTTAAGTCTATTTTTTATTAAAAATTTTTTTCATTTTCTTTGTCGTTTTCGGAGTTTTTCCGGAAATCTTTCCATCTGAAAAGGGAAAAACTGTTTTTGAATAGTAAACAATTTGTATTGTAAAATAAAAAAGCAGCACATAAAATAATTAATATTTTTATTACTAAGTTAAACTCTTGCACTTAACAAAACGATTTTTCAGAAGGTTAATATTAATATTTAAATAATATTCAAATAATTTTGTTTATGTACATTTTTAGAATTATTAACAAATCGATTTTCTTTTTCTAATTTTTTTACCTCTTCACAAATTAAAGGATAAAAAAGTTTAATCGATTTTTACTAAACCTTTATTTAACCTTTTTCTTGAAAGTGCTAATTAAAGTTTTTGTTTTCGAATTGCAAATCCGGAGATTAACTGTTCGTCATTAGGTCATTACAGGGCATTTACTATATTTTCGATAAAAAAAAATTCTCGGGTTTTTCCCGGCTTTGTCCTAAATTTTTCCGGGTTTTTACCCATCAAATTTCAATTTATTTAATTTTGAATATAAATAAATGTACAAGTGGCATCAAAAATTTGTATTAGAGTTTCTATGAATAATTAAATTCTTTTGACCAGTTTCTTTAAATCTTTTACATATTTTAATTAAAAAATTGGAAAATAATTCAATTAAACAAAGGATTTTTTCAATTTTTTAAAATAATCTTGTCAGTTTCTGTTTATCATTGAAGGGCTGTATGCTATAATTGGAAATTTAATTATTAAATTTTATTAGAATTATAGTGATAATAATTGAATTTTTGCAAAGAATTGTACTATTTATCAAAGTAATTGAATCTTTCCAAAGAATGTTATTATTTATAAAAATATTTCAATTATTGCGAAGAACATTATTATAATTTTTTTATATAATAAGCAGTAATAATTAATCATTTACTTAATAAGTAATGAAAATTTAATTTGCTTAAGAAATAAACAAATTATTATTTATTTGAACATTCAGAAATTTAAAATTATAAAATTTTAAGAGAAGTTCAGTAATTACAATTATTGAATAATAATATAATTTTTAGACCGAAAAAATTGATTTAAAACTTTAAGAGGGACTATATGTTTTACAAATGAAATTGTAATTACAGTCACTAACATCCCTGGATTTTTTTCGAACAATTTAAATAAAATTTTTAAAAAAATTCAATTATTTTTCATAGAATGTAAAGAAATTTTAATTATTTCAAAATTTGTTTATTATTTGTTTATAATAATTTAATTATCTTGAAACAATAGAATATTGAATTTATAATTTAATTATCTTGAAACAATAGAATATTGAAAAATTTCAAATATCTCATTTTTCGGAATTAAAAAAAAAATTTGCGAAAATTAAATTTTAATAAAAAATTTTAAGTGTGTATCTTGTTTTAATTGAATGTGAAATTTCTTTATGAAAATTTATAACCTATTAACTATTAAATTAAAATACTTTGAAATTTCTATTTGTTAAAAAGTTTATAATTAAATCCTTTAATAAATTTTACAAAATTTATATTAATTTGATAATTTCTTTTTAATTTATTTACATACTATATTTGAATCAGTGCCTGGTATTTACTATCAAATTAATTATTTTTAACAAATTCAAATTTAGAGAAGAGTACAAATATCTATAGAAATTGTAATAAAACCCGATAAAATTTCCAGTTTGTCAAAAAATTCTTGGCTTCCGGTCAAATTAAATTCCCGGCTATTTTCCGGTTAGTAGACACCCTCAATGACTCATTAGTCCAGTCAAATTAGTCGAAAAAGAGGGCATATCAGGTTTTATCTCAGGACCGCAATTTTTTTTGCTTAAACCCTTCATTGTGGGGTCAAAATAAAGGGCCTAAATTTAGTTCCTCGAACTCCGTCAGGAAAGCAAAAAATTTTTGCAAAATAGATGCAAGAAAGCAGTTTTTTGAAAATTACCGCTTTCCATTACATTTAAGGGTAAAAATAGTTATTATAGAAAAGAAAGTATATAAAATTCTGAGCAATTATCAAAAAAGTGATCCTTGTAGCTCAAAAATTGACCGAGTTATGCCCTCCGCAAGAAAACCGTTTTTTCGTGATTTTAGCCAAAATTCGCTATTTTTTAGTTTTTTCAGAATGACTTCTAAAATATTAATTATTTTTAAAAATGACCTACAGAGGACTTAAAGCTGACTAAATTTCTGACAATTTGCGATAAAGAACAATAAAATAGATGGTAATATGACTTTATCACTCGTTCGTATTAGTTATTTCAATAATTAAAATTTAACGATAAATTTTAATTATTGAAATAACAATAAAATAGCATTAATAATTTTAGAGATACAGTATCTCAAAATTGACCCTTTTTGAGGTTAAATTGCAAAAAATTCTGTTTTTCGCAAATAAATATAAGTTTTTGTTATGTTTTAAATGTAGACATACACAAACGATATCAAACTTGATTAAATTGTGTGTGGATGAACTGTAAAATAAACAAAACACTTCAAAATACATGACCGTTTAGTATGAAGTAAAATTCTGTATTTTTCCTATTTTTTCGTATTTGAGTTTATTTACATGTTTTTCATGAACATATTAATCGTTCGATAACGTTTGTGTATGTCTATATTTAAAAAATAACAAAAACTTATATTTATTTTCGAAAAACAGATTTTTTTGCAATTTAACCTCAAAAAGGGTCAACTTTGAGAGACTGTATCTCTAAAACTATTAAAGCTATTTTATTGTTCTTTATCGCAAATTTTTTTTTTGCTTAGGGAATTTTGGGAAATCTGCCTACAGATACCTTGGATTCCGCACTCCAAGGTTATGTGGGGTTGGTATGATGAAACAAAAAGGAAATATAAAAAAAAATAAATATATAAAATACTAAATTTAATATTAATATCAATATTTTAGATGTCATTCTGAAAAAACTGAAAAATAGCGAATTTTGTCTAAAATCACGAAAAAAACGGGTTTCTTGCGGAGGGCATATCTTGGTCAATTTTTGAGCTGCAAGGTTCACTTTTTTGTAAATTGCTTAGAATTTTATACACTTTATTTTTTATAATAAGTATTTTACCCTTAAATGTAGTGAAAAGCGGTAATTTCCAAAAAACTGATTTTTTTCACCTATTTTGCAAAATTTTTTTGCTTTTCCGACGGAATTTGATGAACCAAATTTAGGCCCTTTATTTTGACCCCACAATGAAGGGTTTAAGCAAAAAAAATTGCGGTCCTGAGTTAAAAACTCTAAAAGTACTAATTTGACTGGACTACATTGGATATAACATTTTTAAAGGCATGTTTTTGATCAATATTACTCACATCCTCAAAATAGAGCAAATAAAACTTTTTGGTTTATCAAAATACAATTTAATATTCAAAAATTTGCTTAGTCATATTAAACATAGAGAGTGTAACTGTAAAAAATATCCTGTCTTAGGTTTTCTAAGGTGTCCTTTTAAATTAATACACATACGAATTCGGTACAGCGCACAAGTATTCTTTCCCATCCTTTGACATGTGAACGCATATTGTCGAAAGTTCAGTAATAGAAATCGCAGATTCTTCTGTGTCAATGTTTACAATTGTTTGTAATGTGTTATAACATTTTTCGAAAGAACGGACTGTATGAATTTTTTTCACTATTGCAAATTCAAATTTAGTATGTGAATCCATTACAAAAAAGTGGATTTTAACATATGAAAAATCACGCAATTGAGCAAACGTATTATCTGACCTTTTATTAATCTTTTTTGATGACATAAATAAACATCCATTTTTCACAATTTTATAAAATGAAAGAGCAGATTCAGACAATGATAATTTTACTTTCCAAGTTTGATCGACCGAGGATCCACTACCAAAGTATCTAGCTGTAGAAGTCTGCATTGTTTTTTGAACCATGGTTGTACCGATATTATTATAAAAATGTTTAACCGTGTATGAACAATGGGGGTAAATACGATCACGCAAACTAATCATACAGTATCGGAGACTAATGCGTCGACATACCTGATTATGTACACCTTTTGCCGCGTGAATGACTTTTAGTAATTGACCGTTCGCTGATTCGAATGCGTACGCATTATGAGACCAGAGAGGGCCCCATTCGAATACGCTTCTTGCTAAATGTAACAATAAGTGAATGTTGAATGTCATCGAAACTTTAGAATAAATTATTTCCGTCTGAGCAACAAACTCATGCAAGAGTTGATCCGCAAAATCTATATCTTGAATTCGAATGTCTTCTTTTAGTAGCAAGTAAAGGGCTTCCACAAACAATATCCAATGGCAAAATAATTCTTCTGGTAAGACATCTTTTAATATTATGGGACTATAAAATAGAATCCAATTCTCCCACTCTCTTGATTTCCAAAATGCTTTTTCAGAAAATGGACGTGTTAATCGAATAATTTGATGTGGAACTTTGAAATTATTTAGTGTTTTATCAATATCTTCGATTTTTGATTTGCTGAATATTCCAGACTTTTTTGCGTTGCCAAACCACGTAGTTGCAAATTGTTTTGCAATTCCTGAACAGCAGTGCATACTATCCACAACTACACCGTAAATGAAATTGAAACCAAGTAGATTTATAAGATGAGAATATGCCTTAACACCGAAAATAGGAGTTTTTTTTTCAACTGCACTTTTCATATGCTTTTCCGTTTCTTTAACGGTTCTATTCTTCGGAACTTTTTTTAGCAAAGGATATTTCATGTTTCCGGAACGTGGATTATTAGGATTACATTTTACCGATTCGCCTGGATGTAGGCATAGATGACAGCCATATTTCCCATTAAATTGTACAAATCCTAACATTGGAGCGCGAGCAACTGTATCTACGCAACACACTAATGGAAAGATTTTAATATTACGATTATTACCATTTATTTTACATGATACTCCTTCCGTTGACAGCTTGTTCATAGTTTCTACAAATGGGTCAAGAAAGACTTGCATGTTCGGTTTGTCTTTACCAAACCAAAGGCCTACGACTATTAGCTCTTTTGTTCGTACATTATATGGTAATTCATTTACCATTAGATATATGGGCCAAATCGAGTAAGACGAACTGGTAAAAAGTGGTGCACCGTCAGTATTAAAAATAACACTTGCATAAGCATGTTTATCACATTCATTCAATTTTTTAACAAAATTTCGATAACGCTTCCCGTCATAAATATCACGAATGTGACCTTTTTCGTACGGCCTTTCATTCATGACATAATTGTGGTAAGTACTGTTTGATTCCAGTAATTTTGAAATAGGTGCACTCGGATCTATCGTGACGAAAAAGTCTTTATGTTTATAATCGCCTACCTGAATTTTTGTCTTGCACACGCCACACTTTATAAACTTGTCTTTACGTTCGAATTTCCCAACGTACGCGCCACACTTGGTACATGTCGCATGAAGTTGCATACAATCTTTTGGGTGAAACAACTTGTCTATCAAATATCGAGTGTTCGGCAGAATATGAAAAGCAAACATACAATTAATGAGCATAAACAGATCAGTGATTTGTGTTAATGATAATGCATGCACTAAAGCGTACTTTACAATCATAAATATTATTTCTCCAACACTTTTATCAACTGGGACAGTAATAGGATTTTCGAAATCTTTCATATTTAACATGTCTTTAAAAGACTTAAACGGTTTTTCTGTAGATACGTCATCATCTTCATTTATTAAGTCAGCATCATTCAAAATATCCATAAAGCATTCAGCTTCTATATCGTCCTAAAATAAAATTTATTAATTAACTATTGATCATAAAATATTGAATTAAATATATAAGCTTGAGATGTTTTAAAAAAGTTGAATATACAAAACTTATGTTAAATTTTAAAGGTACGTCTGTATATTTAAAATATACATCACGGACGTATCTTTTTACCTAGGACTACAAAAAATAATTTATTAAAAAATTGTTCACTTTCTCATTTTTTCATATATTATTATTATTCGTGACAAATATCTGTTTCTTGTGTAGTATAATAAAAAATATAAAACGATATGCGACTTGGTGCATAAAAAGATACATTACCTCTACAAATTTTGAGTCATTTTTGTCCTCAATGTCGTCAATATCCTCTGCTAGATTTTCTACAATTTGATGAATATATCCAATACTGTTTTCTTCTTTCTGAAGTGAGTCAAGCTGAGTATTTACTAGTTCCTGAAAACATATAAGTGCAAATACTTTTTATGTCGAAGTCTAATTAATGGAATTTAATTTTTATAATTCAAAATCATAAACAAAAAATAAAATGCATTTAAGAATTCATTATGTAAGAGAGACTAATTTCGCTCATGTAAGGTAAATTCGGTCAACAGATACTTATTTTTTTAAATTAGATTAAAAAACTTTTTAGGCAGAAATATTTAAGATTTACAATTTTTTTTGGTAATTTTAATTAATAATAATTTATTTAATTATTTTATTTATTTATTTAATTAGTAATTTTAATTTAAAACACAAATGAATAATTTTCATATTGAACAAGTAGCATGAAAAAGTAGGGAATAAAGCTTTACTTCAACATTTTTAAGTTGAATCCTTTTAAACATTCCTGTATCTCCAACATGATTTTCGTAATGCACAAAACTGAAAGCAATTGAAAGCAGGTTTCTACAAAAAATAAAAAAAATTCAAATTTGTAGTGTAAATTCGCTCATGAAATAAGTCTACAAAAAAGATGCTTGCGCCTGGATAATTTAAATATGTTAATTATTTTTATTTATAATTCGATTTTTTTAATAATAGTGCTCTTATAATTGAAAAATAAACGATTTAAAACGGTTTATGCATAAAACTGTCAAACTTAACCTTATTTTTTATGGTCATGAGTACGTTTAATTGAATGATTATAAATCTAATTTTTATTGATAAAACAATATTAAATATTTATTCCAATAACTTTCGACATTGTTCTTAATTTTTTTTTTCATTCTAAAGAATATTTAGTTTTATTATTGCAGATTATAAATATAATATATTTTGCAAGAATAATAATGGTAAACGAATTTACCCTCATTTAAAGGTAAAGTCGCTCACAACAAAACGGCTTATAAATAATTGTCTGCAACATATTTTAATTTCTTTGTGCAGTAATAGAAAGAGAAAGGGTCAGAGATTATATATTTTTAAGTGCCAATGTTTATTTTCATCGTTTCCTAAAGTTATTTAAAAAATAATTGAAAAATTGAGCGAAATTAGCCTCTTTTCTGGTAATTAGTCGTCAACATAAATCGAATTTTATTCAACTGATTAAAAAAAAAATATTTCGTCCATTTTTCTATCATTTAAACCTTCAGATTCCCTCCCAGGGTGCTTAACAAGGATTGAGAAAAAAATGCTCTGACTTTTCCAAGACTTTTTACTAATTTTAAATGCGCTTTTGTCAGCCAAAAATATAGTGACCGACATATTTAACATTAAATTAATATTTAATGATTGAAACAAACAATAATAAAATTTTTTTAAGTTTTGTTAGATTAAAAAACATTTCATTCACAATAAATTTTTATTTTTATATAAATTTTCCTGATTTTAAATGAAATTCTCTGACATTCCCTGACTTTTTCATAACAAAAAAAAATTTCTTTACTTCCCTGACTTCTTAAAGTCAATTACTTTTTTTATGTCATTTTTTACAGTCCAAAACTTTTTTCCAAAAATAGTCATTTTTTGATAATTTTGTTTAGAAATTGATAGCATTTAATGTAAAATATATTATTAAAAAATGCTTACATCATGTATTACTTGTGAAAGATTATCATTAGAGCTTTCATTTCCCATTAAAGGCTCTATATTTTCATCAAGCTCTACCTCCATTTGATTTTCATCTGATGAAGATTGAGACGCATCGTTAGTATCACTTTCCTGATCAGGAAATTCTTCCAAATTATCTTCATTCATCTAATTTAAATGAATTCAAAATTATGTAAATGTAGTTATACCAATAGTAGTATTAAAAAGTTTACCTCTTCTAAGAATTTTTTGCGTCTTCTGTACCAAGATGAAGAAGGAACAGATTCAGTTAATCCTGAATCTAAATAACGTTTATAGCCTCGCCGCTCATTCATGATATTAACTGTCAGAAAAAAATTGTAACTGATGTATTCAAGAACAGTGAATAACAAGAATGTCGAAATAAGATTTCTTTACTTAAAATGTAATTTTTTAATGATTTAATGATCGATAAATTTTAAAATGCACATTATTTATCGTCAACATCCCCCTGAGCACGGAAACGTCTTTGTTTTTAAAATGTTTCATGACGCTCGAATTAGTTGCCCCCTGAGTCGAAAAAATTTTTTTCTTCAAATTTAATATTTTATGAGTATATTCCGATAAAAAATATTATTCTGCACCTTTTTTCCTTTGACAAAAGTTCCTATATATTATAGTTTTTGAAAAACCGCTGCCAAGTTGTATATTTTTTTGTATAATTTTGGTGCTCATTTCATGAACACTTTACTTCCACATAGAGATAATAATAATAATAGGAAAATATATGAATAACTTTTTATAAATATGGTAAAACTGATTGAATCTTGGGTCAATCAATGTATTTTTAAATACTCTGCAATATAGTTATAATAGTTTAATAGTTAAACAAAAATTTTCAAACAAAAAAGTTGCGAAAATGTTATTTTCCACAATTTTTGGTTTTTAAAATACCAATAATTTCGAAATTTATTATCAAAATAGGTTCAAAAATAGATCAATCGAAGCGTTTTTTGAAGCTCTACAAGTCGGCAACGATAATTTTAAGATTACTTCTACATTTTTCAACAAAATTTTCAAAAAAGTCTTATTTACCAAAATTCTGAATTTTTAAAAGTTTAATATCTACGGTTAACATGGACGAAAAATGTTGAATTAGGGCTCAAAAGATGCGTCTAAAAAAACTCTACAAAATTATGCAAAAACATTAACATTAATATTTTTTTAAAGTTATGGGCAAAAAACGTTTTTTGCAAAATTAAAAATCCAAAAAAAATTTTGTTAAACAGTATCAATCTATCTCAAAGTACTCTCATTTTATGTCCGCAGGTGAGATCTACAATTTAAAAAAAAATTCAACCCAAAAGCTCTTCATGATTTCGAGATATTTATGGAAATGTGATGTTTACACACACACACACACACACACATACGGAATGACATTTTTTAAAAATGTCATTTTTGAACTCCTGAGGTCAAATAACATAAAGATATGTCAAAAAATCGAACTCGAAAAATTTCGGTATTACAATACTTCCTCTATGAGGAAGTAATATTTTCAAAACAATGATTTTTTTTTAAACAAAAAATGTAATTATATTTTTGACTTCAACTCGCGATAAAGTAAATAATTTTCAACAGTTTTTAATGAAACAAAAATGAAAATACGCGTCTCTTTACTGTTCGATTGATAGTTTAAACAAAAATTAATTATAATTATAATTTAAAACGTTATTAATTTTTTTCTGAACTATTGCACTGTTATTGACTTTGAACTTTCCGGCGCTTCGTTTATCTGAAAAATTTTCATTTCCATAAAACTTTCAGTGACAAAGTTATTTATTAAGATCTGAAAAATATAAATGGACAAGAATAATTATTAATCAAGATATAATTATTTTTTACTGGCGTTAGCAGACGATTATTTCGCACACGTTAACTTCTCATACGTGATCCTGTTGGGAGTGACGTCACGCCAGGCTCAATCCACACTTGCAGAATGGTCGTCTGCTAACGCCAGTAAAAAATAATTATATCTTGATTAATAATTATTCTTGTCCATTTATATTTTTCAGATCTTAGTAAATAACTTTGTCACTGAAAGTTTTATGGAAATGAAAATTTTTCAGATAAACGAAGCGCCGGAAAGTTCAAAGTCAATAACAGTGCAATAGTTCAGAAAAAAATTAATAACGTTTTAAATTATAATTATAATTAATTTTTGTTTAAACTATCAATCGAACAGTAAAGAGACGCGTATTTTCATTTTTGTTTCATTAAAAACTGTTGAAAATTATTTACTTTATCGCGAGTTGAAGTCAAAAATATAATTACATTTTTTGTTTAAAAAAAAATCATTGTTTTGAAAATATTTCAAAAACTATAATATATAGGAACTTTTGTCAAAGGAAAAAAGATGCAAAATAATATTTTTATCGGAATATACAGTAGGATCTTTGAATAGTGCAGTTCTGAACAGTGCAGTCATTAGTGAGTTGAGTAGACAAGGGGTTTCGGGGGGTAAAGGGAAAGGGAATCTGTGACGTCAAATACAGTGCCGTCGGTCATTTAATTGTTTAGTGCCATTTAGTGGTGCCCAGTATTTAGTAGTGGGGGACCCTTAATTTTCTTGACACGGACCTGAATGTTTTAGTTTCTGCACGCTTCGAACAGTGCACAATATTCCCAACGACTGCACTATTGAAAGATCCTACTGTACTCATAAAATATTAAATTTGAAGAAGAAGATTTTTTCGACAACTAATTCGAGCGTCAGAGAATTATAACCCTTTGCCGTTCATATGTTAAGAAATGTCGTTTAGAGTCCTTTTTTGGGGGAACAGCCAATGAGAAGAGGCGTTTATGCTTGTGTTGATAAGTTAGTTATGTGTGAGAACGTAAGTGTCTAAATTTGCAGGATCGTACCTTCTCAAAATTTGAACCCATTTATATTTTACAATAAATTATATTTAATTATACTATAATTGATCACTAAAACTACGATTTTTTGTGTAAAGTGCAAATGTATATTTGCAATTTATTACAATTTAAAAATGGTAAATTTGATTGTTAAAAACTTATATCAAACATAAATATCCTATGTAAACATAACCTAAAAATCAAACTAACATCCGCCCCTGATATTGTCCACGTGATTCAACTATCAAACTGCTTGTTTCTGAGGTGGGGAAAACTTATGTACGGCAAAGAGATAACCGGTTCTTTGATTGGGACCCTCAATTTTAACTAATGCTAAGTCGCATTGACAATGGCGCCCTCACCTAGGAGAAATTTTGTTTCAGCAAATTTTTACCCCAAAATCAGGTTAAAATTTATACTTTTGCTTCCTCATAAAGGAAGTTTTGTATTAGCAAAATTTTGGATTGTCATTTTTTGACATATTTATAATTTTTTTTTATTATGCCTAATACTTTAGTACTTTATATATGCACAGGAACTCCCCGTATAACTGTTCTAAATAAATAAAAAAAAATTCCGACGTATTTTGACCTCCGAAGTCTAAAAAACGGATTTAAAAAATTTGTCCCGATGTGTGTGTGTGTGTACTAACATTACATTTGTCTCAATATCTCAGAACGAGAAAGAGCTAAAAGCCTCAATTTTTTTTTAAATTGTAGGTCTCCTCGGGGGACATGAAATGAGAGTATTTTCAGCCCGATTCATAAAGTTTAACTAATTTTTTTTTGCATTTATAATTTTTCAAAAAAACGTTTTTTTAACCATAACTTCAAAAAATTGTTAGGACACCTATAAATTTTTTTCTTTAGTTTTGTACACTGAAAAAGAAATGTAATTGAACCAAGTAAATGCATTTACTTGACACAATTTACTTGAATCAATCCCATATTTATTTGAAGAGAGAAATTTATTTTCTTGTGCCAAGTAATTATGAGCAGTGGGTAGAGTTCTTGAATTAAGGGGAGGTTCCCATTGCTGGAGTCAAAAAAATTAATTTCTTTTTTATTGTATTTTTTTAAAGCTATATATATGTAGAATATGTGTGTATAGCGATTTTTTTATCCGAAGAATATTTTCGTTTTTATGGAGTCTTGAACTCACCGCCGTCCCGAGCACTGAGTAACAAATGTCAGGCAAATCGAATCAATTTTTAAAAATTTTGCAAATCTGACCTCAGAATCGTAAAGAGCGACCCTAAATACCTATAGATATTTATCATATACGCAAATTGAACAAAAAATTGCAAAGAATAAAATTATTGCACAAAAATGGTTCTCAAACTTTAAACGCGGTTTTCTCGAAACAAGATTTTTCAAACTGGTGGGCATCGTAGCGTCTAAACTATTTAATCAATCAACTTCGGGTTTGCGGCTAATTAAAGGTAACTAAATTCTACTGGGGTTATACCTATAATATGATAAAATTGTTAACAATAGAGATTTTTACAAGAGGTCAAATATGAAAAAATAATGCAAAAACGCAGTTTTTTTTAAAAATGTGTCCGCCATTTTGTCATTTTATTAACTTTTTAACTATTTTTTAGGTATAACCTATTGTTTAGGATGTCACCTTTATAAAAAATTTTGAGTTTTTGTTTTAGACTAAAAATTGCGCAGTGTAGAATGCCCACCGTTTTCCCTATTTAAAAAAACATTATTTTCTAGATGCGCCATATTGGCCGCCATTTTGCATTTTTTTAAAAATAAAATATATATTTTAAAAGTTCAAGAATGTATCTTTATTTAGAAAAAAAAATTACATCGTTAAGTGATAGCCGTTCCTCGCAAAAAATTGTCAAAGTTTGTGTTTATTTTGGCCTCCGCAATGAGAACCTCCCCTTAATAATTCAGTATTCTGCATTTCTTACATGTTACTTAATTTCTTGAACGAATTCCATATTTTCTTGGATCAAGAACATATACTCTCCTACCAAGTATACTATGCCAAGAAAATCATTTTCTTAAGCCAATCGCATAATTAGATCGACCCTATATGCAATCCCGATATTTACTTCAACTAATTCAAATTTTCTTGATTCAATTAAATTTTTTTTTCAGTGTAGAGTTTTTTCAGATGCATCTTTTGAGCCATCACAGAACTTTTTTCGTCTACATTATCCGTAGATATTAAACTTTTAAAAATCTAAATTTTTGGAAAATAAGACTTTTTTAAAAATTTTGTTGAAAAATGTAAAAGTAAATTTTAAAGTATCATTTCCAACTTGTAGAGCATTAAAAAACGCTTCGATAGACCTATTTGTCAACTTGATTCGACCAAAACCCGTGCAGAAAATGCTCCACTTTGCCCTATTTAAAACAGGGTTCTGGTCGGGGCCTCGACAGTTCTCCCTATTAAATTTTTTTTAATAAAGTTTTTAGAATTCCTTTTTGTTGTAGAAGCTATTAACAATGAAAGGCAATCATTATTTTAGTTATTTAATAATTTTTTTAATTTAGTGAAGACTAGAATTCCTAGCCAGAACCCCAGGTAGGGTGTTCATTAGATTTTAGATAGGGTACTGATCAGGGCCTCGATAGTTTTCCTTGTTTAAATAAAGTGTAAAAAAATTAAATCTCTAAAATTACTTTTAATAAAAAATAATGAACAATTGAAGATTACAATTAAAGGGAATAATTGTATACTATTGTTTTAATAATTTATTCAATAATTAATTATTATACATTTATTTAAAAACAAAAATTATAACCTTTATTAATATTATAAAATTAAGAAGGCAGAAAGGAGCGACAACCTCCAAAAGAAAAATAAATTAATCATAAAACCAAAAATTATGTTTTTCAAAAATTTTTAGGTTTTCTATTCTTGAAATTATATTATTTTTATCATTATCAATTTTAAATTAGTCAAAATAGACTATAATACCTCATTATGTTATTTATAAACATGTTGTATATACAATAAATATGTTCATTATGTTTCTAATATAATAATATTTTTAACTACAGTAATTGTATTGTAATTTCTATTGAATAAAATTAACCTCACAAAATAGGGCAATTTTGGGAAAAACTGACGAGGCCCTGACCAGTTTTTCCCTAAGTAGGGCATTGGTCGGGAACAGCGTCACACACTAGTCAGGCACTGGTCAGTTTCTCTACCCAGAGCCACATCAGAGATCGGGAAAACTGTCCAGTACCCTATTAGGCCCACATTTTAATTTCTGCACGGGAAATTACGAAATTATTGGTATTTTAAAAATAGAAAAAAATTGTTGAAAATAACATTTTTTAAATGTTTTTATTTAAGAGTTTTTCTTTAACTATTACTTAACAAATTACTTGTTTTTAATCCATATTACTTATAACAAAAGAGTTAGTTTTTACTTTTTGTCAAATCTTTGAAGTAAAATGCTTCAATTTTACGTTTGGTATATACATTTTTTCATAGTTTAACTACAAAAAATACAAATAGTATATGTACTTTATTTTTAGTCAGTTAAGAGAATAAAATTTGTATAGTAGTGAAAGTCAGAAAAAATTCCATAAGTTTCGTAAAATTTATACTGGATTTTAAAGAGGCTTATAGTATTTCTCTTGCAGATAACTGTTATAAATTTCGTTGTTATGAAGTATACGTAGTGAAACAACTTTTTATTTTTTGAAAATCGGCTTTCTGCTATCCGCTTTTGGTTCACATTTTATTGCAGCCAAAGCTAATTCTGCTAATAATTAAGATAAAAACTTTTTAAAAATTTATTAGAAACCTTAGGAATTTTCGAATTAAATGACATATAATAACTAATATTTTTTGTCCCCTTAGTCAATGTAGCACCCCAAGCAGCACGTAAGCTTATCTTGACATCACTTTAATGTTACATTGAAGATTCGTCATATTACACTGTTATATTACAGTGATCTTACTGAAATATCAAAATGTCCGCCTGGTGGTAATATTACGTTGTTATATTAAGAGAATATTACATGGTAATATGAAGGTAATATTACATAGGAATATTAAGGTAATATTACACTGTAATATTAACGTAATGTTGAGGTAATATTCAGATAAAATTAGAATAATTTTATAATTTAGAAAAAAACATTTAACAAAGCTGGACTTGAACCCTGAACCTTGTGCACAGTAATCAAGAGTCTTCCCACTGAGCCAAACTTACTTATAGTGTATTAGGATTTTTGATGAAATATGAAGAACTTTAAAAAAACTTACAAAGATTATATACCGTCTATAATTTTAATACACTACAAGTATGTTTGGCTCAGTGGTAAGACTCTTGATTACTGTGCACAAGGTTCAGGGTTCAAGTCCATCTTTGTAAAATGTTTTTTTCCAAATTATAAAATTTTTCTAATTTTATCTGAATATTACCTTAACATTACGTTAATATTACAGTGTAATATTATCTTAATATTACTAAGTAATATTACCTAAATATTCCTATGTAGTATTACCTTAATATTACCATGTAATATTCTCTAAATATAACAACGTAATATTACCACCAGGCGGACATTTTGACATCTCAGTAAGAACACTGTAATATTACAGTGTAATATGACGAATCTCCAATGTAACATTACAGTGATGTCAAGATAAGCTTACGTGCTGCTTGAGACTTTATAAATATGGAGAAAAATTCTGTAATTTTTTGCGTTTCAGACACTTTATGACTTTTTAAATAATGTAGAATAGTTAATAAAAAAGTTTTTAATTTATAGGTACAAAGATTGCTGTTAAAATTTAAGCTTTAATTTAAGTTTAAGAAACTTACAATATCTTTATGATATTTTAAGAATTCACGAGATTCTAATAAAATGCAACTGGATGACTCTTGTGACCATAACCCATGCATTGAAGTATTTTCAACTTTAAACATACTATAATATTGCTTTTCCATTAATACAGGAAGTATTATAATACTAAAATTTTTCAAGTTGGATTTTTTGACATATCTGTATGTTATTCGACCTCAGGATTTCAAAAATGAGATTTTAAAAATGTAATTTTGTCTAAATAGTGACTTTTATCAAAACTAAAGTAATCGATTTTCGATTTTTTTTTCTTTCCTTATAATCACTAATAAATAACGAAAATTTTCCAATCCACACCAAAGTGGTGTTCTTTAGAATTAAAATGATATTTAACATTATGTCAGTCGCTGCACAGAAATTGGAAAAAGAATTTAAGAAATTGAGAAATTATTAACTTCAAAACTCCATTCCATTAATGAGGTATTTATTTTGGTTTGTTATTGAAAGTTAATTGGAAAAAATTGAATAAAACTATGTGCAACGACAGACATAATTTAAATGGTAAATTTTCTTTTTTATTAAGTAGTGATTATGGAGAAAGAAAAAAGTGGAAAATCGATTACTTCAGTTTTGATAAACCACTACCTATGTAGACGGAATTTCGATTTATTTAATGTAAATGTTTATTTTTTGTTATTAAAACAAATAACTGCAAATATTTTTCATGTATTAAGTTATTTTTTATCTATTGGTATAACAGTGAAAAAGATATTTCAGAAGTCCTCTGCTTCTGAAGACGTTAAATTTTAATAAATTCATAACTTCCGTAATTTCGATAAAATAAAAAAATAAAAATAAAATTATTTAATTATTTTTCATATAGAATTCGAAAAAAATGGTTCTAATAAAAAAATTTGAAGTAAAATTTTTTTGAAGAATGACTCATATAACTTGTAAAAATTTAAAAAACATCCCTATGGAAAACCAAAGTGTTTATGAAATCAACACAACGAGATTTACGAAAACATACAACTTGGCAGCGTTTTTTCATTTATAACATACTTTACAAGCAATATTATGTTTTATAAAATGACTTCTTTTTTAGCTAAATTCATTTCCTTAAATTTTTTTAATTTTTAGCTTTATTTTGAAACATTTCAAAATTAGATATTTCCTAAAGGTGACGATAAATAGTGCAATTAGCTTAATTTAGTGATAAAAAGCATAAAATTAAGTAATTGGATATACCAACTTTGAAAACATATTTTTTCTATTATTGTTATTTCTATGCGACTTTCGTAAATGAATAATTAAATTTGTCAAAAGAATAATAGAGCTATAGAGTAATTCTTTTTGTTGCATGTAGATATTTTATAAATATCTTTATCAATAATGCGTAACAAAAACTTTCAAACGATAGTAAACGATTATACGTTAAACACATATATATTACCTACCGTGTTTAGATTATACAAATAAAATTTATCCTATATTCTCCTTTTTCAATCACATAAGGAAAATTAGAGGTAAAATGGCTTCAACTTATTAGGACAAAATGTCGGCTGGTACACTTTCAAACTTTCCGTAACGGTCCCTGAGTGTATATTCAGGACATTCAAGACTTTACAACTTTTAAACACAGATTTACTTTTATTACTTTATTAAGGTCAAAATTATTATTTTTAACGCACTCATTTGAAATTCACATAATATCGAGCTTGTATGACGGATTTTCATTAAAATATTTGTAAAACTGACATTGTAATTTGTATATTATGATAGTAAAGAAGTGTTACTTGTGAGGTAACGTTAAGTTAGGTGAGCAAGTGAGACTGTGAGACGCATGCATGGGGTGCGACCGTCTGTACCAAAAACATAAGTCCAGAATGCTCATTATGCCGAATACACAATTTAAAAATGACTAGATACGCGAATCCTCAATAAACTAAATTATATATTGAATGAAATTCAAAAGTCGAGAATAATCATTTGATACATTCTGCATAATGAAGAATATTAGTTTACACTAATTCCTTTTCTCAAAAATTTGAAATTATTCTAATTTTTATGTTTGGAATTTCCATGGGACTGCGGCCTTAGGGTGGAGTCCCATGGCAGCGTTTTGCGTTGCGTTTTGTAACTAGGCAATGAGTGTGAGAAAGATGGAGATATATGTTTGCTATATTTGCACTCATGGCCTAGTTACAAAACGCAACGCAAAACGCTGCCATGGGACTTCACCCTTAGATATCTACCACGGGGGTGACACTCTCGAGTTGAAACTAACCATACTGTTGACTGGTGACCACCGTGGGCGCTGGCTGGTTAGTTGGCCGATATTGAGTAAAAATGCATTAGAAAAAAAGAAAAAATTATTTTACAATCAATAATATTAATTTAATTGTATTTATTTGTATATAATATTAATCCAGTATCTTTTTAGCATTTTTTATGATATTAAAAACTTAGAAAAAGCGTTTAATATTTTATTTATAATGAAAATTGTGCAACAATTCATGGCGGGAAATTTAAATTAAATACTAAATAATATTATAATAAATAAATTATCAAACAAATTTTTGTTTATACTGTAAAATATTATTAAATAATAGTCAGTAGCAATAATTAAAATAATAAAAAATAATTATAATTTTATTAATTTAAATTTCCCGTCATGAATTGTTGCACAATTTTCATTATAAATAAAATATTAAACGCTTTTTCTAAGTTTTTAATATTATAAAAAATGCTAAAAAGATACTGGATTAATATTCTATATAAATAAATACCATTAAATTAATATTATTGATTGTAAAATAAATTTTTCATTTTTTCTAATGCATTTTTACTCATTATCGGCCAACTAACCAGCCAGCGCCACCAGTGGCGACGGTCAACTCTCAGGTTAGTTTATTCTAATGGGAAACTGCACCAGTGTCACCCCCGTGATAAGGCTAACGCAGAATGAATACGGATACGGGAACAGGGCATGCAAAAGAAAATGACAGAAGCTGTCTGTGTCTTTTTCTTTCTCATGCCCTGTTCCCGATCCACATTCATTCTGCGTTGGCCTATATCTAGGCTAACGCAGAATAGATCTGTAACCGGAACCGCAATCGTAAGCGTAACCGTAAGAATGAGTTAAAGAAGGATAGGTATATTGTTTATCCTTCTCTAACTCATTCTTACGCTTACGGTTACGATTGCGGTTCCGGTTACAGATCTATTCTGCGTTGGCCTTCTACCAAAAATTCAAAATGTTGTTAAGGCAAGTACACAATCCGTCGCATACCTATGGATCGCCTTTAGTAGTAATACGTTAATCTCGAAGTTTTCAAAATTCGTACGGATTTCTAGATCACTTTATTCACTTCGTGCTTTGACGGTTTGACCAAAGCAATAAACGTAATTGAATATAAAAATAAAAAAAAATGAATCAAATAATAAACTAATTGATAAACCGGTGATAAAAAGAAACTTAAACTGAAAATGTCAGTTCAAAATATTAACTGTGCGTATGCATTGTTTGGAAACGGTGAGAAACGAAATGTGCCTGTGTCCTTCATAGAAAATTTTTCGCCAAAAAATCAGACCGATTTTATAAGGAGAAAGAAATATAAAATTTGGTCGCTGGGAAACAAAGGGCCCAAAGATTTCTTAAGGAATGGTTACATTCTGCTGCTTGGTGGTAAGTAAATATAAACAATGACATCTTATATTTATGCTTAATTTCACACAAGCCAAATAGTGGACGCCATGTGGCTCAAAGGTAGTTCTATTTGAGGCATATTGTAGTCACTTTCCGTCACTTTTCAATATGTCAGATTTTTGTATTATTTTTTAATGTATAAGTTTAATAATAAATAACGTTTTTCCCGTTATTTATTTTTTAGAACAATTAAATTAAATAAGTTTTTCTTATTTTAGCTGATGAAAACGACATTAACGAGCAAAAGAAATCAAAACGAGTACATGTTCCAAGTCAAAAACATTTGAGTTTTTCATCTTCATCTGAAAGTGAAAAAAAGAAGAAAAAACAGGTAAAAATATTTTAAACATTTATAATTTTTTTAATACTGCTTTAAAAAACAAATGATTTTTAATATGTTTTAGTAGGGTAGAGTGGGGTAAAAAAGCCACATTTTTACTTTTGATGCTGTAAAATCTGTATTTAAAATTTTTTTCTTAAATTTCCAATTGTTATTGAAAGTTTAGTTATTAAGCTTTAAAATTCTTGACGGAAATATTTTTTATCTGATAAAAGGACTAAGTTATAAGAGTTTTACGAAAGCACTGCAAGTGGCTTTTTTGCACCACCTGGTGGGGTGAAAAAGCCACCCTACGATTTTAGCAAAACATGTTATCAATTTAGGTATTTTTATAGTTTTTCTTTATTCATATGACAAATAGTCTTATTTGAAAAATATTTTAATAATTATGAAAGAGTTTTTAGCAAGCAAAATTGAAAATTATATTAAGGTATTATTATCGTTTGATAAATAAAAAGAAGAATATTCAAGCTATCGTTTGATATAAATTTTATTAAAATCGGAGGTAACGTGTTTTGAGATTTTTCAAAGTTTAACTTTTAAACTCAATTTTCTATTTAAATTAAATTATTTAAAAAATATATTTTTTTCTTATCAGAAAGTTCAGAAATTCTACTTTCGAAATCACTAATATAAAAAGTAATTTGGTTCTACAGAATGGAAGAAATATTTATTTAAAAATTGTCTTACATTGGCAATTGTTTACGAAGGGGGTCGTTTTGAAATGAAATGCCTCATATTTTTTTTAAATAAAGTTAAAGTACAATTCAAATTTATTTCTAAAGCTTGATTGAAAGGATTTGCTTCTTTACACATTTATAAGCTATGTTTTGTGTACATATAATTTACATACTATATTTGTAGCCTGTTAAAAGAAAACTCCAATTTCCATCCGATGACGCAAAAAAACACGCAAATGAAAAAATTTTTAAAAACCGTTTGGAATTACTTAAAACTCGAAAACTTATTCGAGAATCTGACGAGGACGAGAATTCAGATGAAACCATTGAAAGTGTTGATTCAATGCCGACTCTGCCAGGATTTACAGGTATATGTTTTAAACGCAATTGAGAGCATGGAAAGCACAGTAGGCACAGCGACTGTTTGTTATTTTTAAATAAAAATTGTTTTTAAGGACACTGATTACACTGAGAGAAATGGATAGTCAGATTTTGATGTTCAATTCAAAATCTAATGTCACATTTGTAATTAGCGACTCAGAAAACCCCTAGTAATATTCCTAATCTAACAAAAAAATTCATTGTAATAATGTGATAAAAATCTAGTTACTTAAATTATTTTAGTCTACATTTTAAATTTAAATATAAATGAAAAGTAAACCCATGTCTCCGTGCCAACTGAAGAGCAAAATGAGTAAATCAATAAACCAATTATCGATACCGCAAAGCAGTGTTATTTCGCACATTTAACGGTAAATTCGATCACAGATTATTTGCTTCAAATTAGCTTTAAAATAAAGTTTAATACGTTTATTACTTTTATTAACAAAAAATAAATATTCAATTTGTTGATAAATATGTCAAATTTTATTTTAAATGTGATTTGTAAGACAAATCAATGTGCGATTGATTATTATTTATTATTATTAATGCCCGTATATAATTTTGGAGAGAAATAACATACACCAAACATTTCGAAACTTCAATAAATTTAATTGTCATTTACAAATACGAATTTTTTATATATTTTCAAAGTCATTTCTCAAACATTTCTAGAATTTAAAAATAAGAAAATTTTGATTCAAAAATTTTTTAATCTCTAATGGCGCCTTACAAACTTTCTATATGTTCCAGTGCTCGCTGAAGTCAAATTTCAGTTTAATTGACACTTTTAGTGTACCCTTTAAATTGACCCAGGTTAAAATCCCCGTACAGGATCCTTAAAGGATCCTCTTGGGATCCTGTGCAGGTCCTGTGCAGGATCCCGACAGGATCCCATACCAGTCCTGTACAGGATCCCGACCGGATTCCGTGCAGGAAATTGGAACGGGGTTCCTGTGCAGGTTCCGATGCAGGAACCTTAACTATCAAAGTATGAATGCTCCTTAAGCCATTTTCGGCGACCAGCGCGCCCAAATGAGAAGTATAGCTTACCCGATTTAAGGCAGTATCACAGTCGTCAAATTTCTGTCCAATCAGAACAGCACGTCACTTTAGATTTTTTCCGTGCATCAGTAGAAAACTACTAATTCAGATTTAGGGAGTGATGCCTTCGACACTGCATATCGAAAAATATTTTTTTAATAGGAAACTGGAAAATAACATTGAATTTTTCTTAAGGTATAGGGTTAAAAAGTAATTTTAAATATTTTTTACTTTGAAGGTGAATAGAAGAAGCGAAATTTTTTAAAATTTTAACACAAAAAATAATTTTAAAAAATAGTTTTTGATGCTGAACATTGATGGCAACTTCAGAAAGCTTAAAATTATGCTAACAAAATTTTGTCTTTTTAGATTACTTAAAATACAATAAATAACCTTATCTTTCTTAAAAAATTTGTTTAATTATAAATTAAAAAAGAATCATTATGTAATGCCTATTGAATTTAAGAAAATTCTAAATTAATTTAATTTTTAGTATATGTACGAGACTCTCGTTGAGAATTCGATACAAGGGTAATTTAAGTCTCGGTTTCGTAACGAATTTATTTTCTGTCGTCTTGTCTATGTCTCGTTACTGAAAATCAAGACGATACAAAGACTTTTTTCGTCTCCTGTATAGCCCTAATCACGATATGCATTCTGTATCATTGCAGTGAAAAGAAAGAATGAAGAAGGATCAGAATCAAGAAAACGGCAACGTATTGTCGAGGAAACTGACGAAGAACTTTCAGATTCAAATGTTGGTAAGAATAATTTACTCACACTACCGGTCAAAATAAATTAAGAGTCACCGCCCAGTTTTAGGCGAATGAAAAACATTTTAAAATATAAAATTTATGAAATTTAAAGTTTTTTTCTTTTTATTTTTTGAAATAAAAGATTTTGAAAATATCTTGCAGAAGTCATTTGGTCACTATTTTGTTTTAATATTTTTTAAAAAATCGTAATTTTCAATGTTTCACAAACATTTTAATAACTTTTATAATAATTAACGCCATTTTAATGATTTTAGGCTTATTTTGTAGGTCATTTTTTGTGGGCTTTAATGAGTAATTTTTTCTTAGAAAATGCAGGTCGTCAAACTGAAACAAAAAACTTTTTAAAAATCTGTTGTACTAGAAATTATTCTAGACAGTATATATATTGTAGATTTTTCAAGAAAATTTAATTTAAAGAAAATGAAAACACTGAAAAACATAATAGTCAAAATGTGCTTCTTACGAAGGTAATTTTGTCTAGGTTCAATAGCAAAACATGCACAGCAATTATTTATTTAAAAAAAAAAATTTTCTCCATAGCTAAGGCAAAAATTACCTTAGATAAGGCTAAAATTGATTTTTTTAAAAAGACAATTGCTTTGCGTGTATTGGTTTTGTTCTTAGGAAAAAATTGCCTAAGTAAAAAGCACATTCTAACCAATTTTTTTAGTGTGTGTTAATAAGCTTCATGTAAATTTGAAAATTTTTAATATGTATATTTCAATCATGCTGACTAAATAAACAACTGTAGAAGTCTCAATAAATTATTTTATCATTTTTTAATAAATAATTGTCAAAGTCATAAACGATCTCTTTCTCCTCTCATAGACTCTCTTGACACAATTAATGAAGTTGACGGTACTCCTCAGCGTTTACGATATTCACCTTCAGGCGGTGGAGGTGAAATTCATGATGCATCAAACAGTAGTAAGTTTTACAAAACAGTTGACACAATATTAATTTAAATTCAAAATATTAACTTAAGGATCGACCTTAGAGATTCTCAAAGGCTTGGAATTTTTGAAAACTCGCTGGACATCAAAATATTGTTAACTATAATATATATATATATATATATATATATATATATTTAATAATCATATTTTTCAGATTCGAAGATTCACAGTACAGTCAGAAATACTCGTCGCGTGGAAACCTCGGATTCGACGGCACGTAACGCCACGCCGAGAAATACTCGTCGCATAGAAACTCCAGAATCGACGGCACGTAACGCCACGCCGAAAAATACTCGTCGTGTGGAAACCCCAGAATCGACTGCACGTAACGCCACGCCGAGAAATACTCGTCGTATGGAAACCCCAAAATCTACTGCACGTAACGCCACGCCGAGAAATACTCGTCGTTTGGAAACCCCAAAATCTACTGCACGTAACGCCACGCCGAGACATACTCGTCGTACGGAAACCCCAAAATCAACTGCACGTAACGCCACGCCAAGAAATACTCGTCGCATAGAAACTCCAGAATCGACGGCACGTAACGCCACGCCGAAAAATACTCGTCGTGTGGAAACCCCAGAATCGACTGCACGTAACGCCACGCCGAGAAATACTCGTCGTATGGAAACCCCAAAATCTACTGCACGTAACGCCACGCCGAGAAATACTCGTCGTTTGGAAACCCCAAAATCTACTGCACGTAACGCCACGCCGAGACATACTCGTCGTACGGAAACCCCAAAATCTACTGCACGTAACGCCACGCCAAGAAATACTCGTCGCATAGAAACTCCAGAATCGACGGCACGTAACGCCACGCCGAGACATACTCGTCGTACGGAAACCCCAAAATCTACTGTACGTAACGCCACACCGAGAAATACTCGTCGTGTGGAAACCCCAGAATCGACTGCACGTAACGCCACGCGGAGAAATACGCGTCGTGTGGAAACTCCAGAATCGACTGCACGTAATGCCACGCCGAGAAATACTCGTCGTGTGGAAACCCCAGAATCGACTGCACGCAACGCCACGCCGAGAAATACTCGTCGTGTGGAAACCCGAAATTCGACTGCACGTAACGCCACGCGGAGAAATACGCGTCGTGTGGAAACTCCAGAATCGACTGCACGTAATGCCACGCCGAGAAATACTCGTCGTGTGGAAACCCCAGAATCGACTGCACGCAACGCCACGCCGAAAAATACTCGTCGTGTGGAAACCCCAGAATCGACTGCACGCAACGCCACGCCGAGAAATACTCGTCGTGTGGAAACCCCAGAATCGACTGCACGCAACGCCACGCCGAGAAATACTCGTCGTGTGGAAACCCGAAATTCGACTGCACGTAACGCCACGCGGAGAAATACTCGTATAAACGTTACAAATCAAAATTCACATAATACAACTGAGGGTCTACGACGAGAGATAACTATAGATAATGAAGTAGTATGTACATAGTGCATGTGTAGTTACATAAAAAGCTTGATTAACTATGTAAATTAAAAATGATTTTATGTTCATGAACTACAGATTTATTTTCCTTGCAGGTACATATAGGGGAAAATGTTCAAACTGGCCTCGGCACTTGGGAAATGATTAATCTAAAGAAAGATGACTCAAAATTTATCAAGGAAATGGCGATGGTTATTTGGACACGCGAAGGGCTTCAAAGAAAATGTTTAAATCCAGAAAGAGCTAATAAACATTTGGCAGAAGAAAACATTCGGGAAGCAGTGACGCCATCAAAATATCAATTATTGAAAGGTATCAATATTTTCTTAATTAGAAACTAAAAATGTCATTAGAAAATAATTTAAATGAAATACAATTCAGTACAAAAATATAACAAAAATGATTGGCATTTGTTAAAAATGCATAAATTTATTGTTACAAATTAATGTAAACCAGGGCTCGGATTGTGCGACTATTTCTTTAAAAAATGCGACAAATAGACTTTTAGGCCAGTCGGTGAGTGCAAAAAGTGCAACCTGAAAAGTCTATGTGGTTTCTTGTAGTTGCAGGGCCCCATATAAGAGACCCATAGTTTGTTCTCGATTTCCGGTTGCTAAAAATGGTGTAAGCAATCGTCAAAGTTCGAAAAACATGGGTTTTCAACGACCGTTGCTTCCGGTTAAATTTTAGAGGAAAAAGTTGTTAATGGAAGTTATAGAGCTTAGAAACAGCTTTCAAACGTAAGTTAAAAAAGGTTAATTAATTTAGTTGCGGATAAATAATTTATGCATAATTCCATTTGTTAACTAAAAACATGTAATTTTTCAACATAACTTCCCCACTTTTAGCCTTGCGAATTTGGAAACTTTCATCATATTTAAATGGAAAATGGGTTTTTTTGTCATAAACAAACGGAATAACTTAGCCAATTTTCACTTTATCAATTTGGTGTAAACGGCATTTAATTTCATTTCTTTTCACCAAATTTTTTCGTAAAAAAATCAGACGTACCCTTATTGTTTATCACATTTAACAAAAAATTCTCTTTGTACATATTATTCCATTGAATTTAAAGTTTTATTATGACAAAAAGAAATTTAACTTATTTGTAAATAAGTGTGTAGCATCGTTATCTTAGTAGATGTTTCGAATTGAACTTGCGTGCATATGTGCACGTTATGCTTCAAGCTTATATATAAATAATTACAATTTTTTTCGTTTTAATATTATTTCAAATTCAATGGAATAATGTGTACAAAGAGAATTTTTTGTTAAATGTGATAAACAATAATAATTATTATTGTTTATCAATAATCATATTGTTTATCATATTATAATCATTTCTTGTTAAAAAATATATTCTTTTGTTATTATCAAAAATATTGTATTTTGAAAAAATATAAAATAATTCTCGGATTCAGCGTAAAAAAATACATTAAATTAAAAAAAAAAATTTAATTCAGTCCAAAGGTTGAAAAAAGTATGTATGCTGGTTAAAAAATATTAATAATTAACTAATCAGGAATTTTTTGTAATAAAAAAACTAACTACCCCACTCTTGAAGCTATGTCTGATTTTTGTACGAAAAAGTTTGGTGAAAAGAAATGAAATTAAATGCCGTTTACACCAAATTGATAAAATGAAAATTGGTTAAGTTATTCCATTTGTTTATGACAAAAAAACCCATTTTCCATTTAAATATGATAAAACTTTTGCTCCTTGAGTGTACTTTAAAAAATGAAAAAACCAAATTCGCAGGGCCAAAAGTGGGGAAATTATGTTGAGGCGGATATAAAAATGATATAAAAAAAATTGAGGCGCATGAGTAGGCCCTAAAACTCATTTGTGAGAATTTCGAGTTGTTACAATTTTATTAGACATAATCTCCTTTTAGCCGAATTCGAATTAAACAGAAGTTATGTTTAATAAAATAAAAATTTAATTTCTATTTAACCGACATTTATTTTTGAAAATCCATGTTTTTCGAACATTAATGATTGTTTACACCATTTTTTGCAACCGGAAATCGAGAGCAAACTGTGGGTCTGTGGGTCTTTTATGTGGGTCCCTGCAACTACAAGGAACCACTGAGAATTTTCAGGTTGCATTTCTTGCACTCACCGACTGGCCTATTTTTCCAGATTTTTTTAGTAAAATACAACTAATTGGCTTTTTTCAAATTTTTAATTACTTTTTAACTCAAATTTTTAATAGCAGAAATTTTCTTTTTTGTAAATTATTTATTACCTGTCTACTTGTCTACTAAGTAATCTACGATCTATTTCAAAACGAGACCCCCCTGTAAACAATTGACAGTTTACGGCAATTTTTAAATAAATATTTCTCCTATTAAAATAAACCAATTGAATTTTGCTACTAGCAATTTTGAAAGATAAATTCTTGAACTTTATGATAGTATAAAGCTTTTTTGAAGCAAATAACGTAATTCTAAAAAAACTTGATTTAAAGGTTAAACGTCTAAATGTCTGAAATATGTTACATCCAATTTTTATAAAATTGATGTCAAAATAAAGAATAAATATTTTATTTTTATTCCTGTAAAAATTATTTTGGACGTTTCAGTGGATTTTGAGAAATTAATTAAAATCCACAATCCTCTCAAAGTTTAAAATATGTGAAGCATTCCATTTCAAAACGACCCCCTTTATAAACAATTGCCATTGTAAGGCAATTTTCAAATAATTATTTCTCATGTTTATTGAATCTAAACTTTATTTACTATTAGTGTCTTAAAAAGAAGAATTTCTTAACTTTACGACAATAAAAAATTTCTTTTTAAAAAATAATATTATTGAAGAAAAAAATTAAGTTTTAAAGTTTGAAATATCTCAAAAAACGTTAGGTCCGATTTTTTTGAAAGTTATGTCAAAATAAAGCTTAAATATTTTACTTTAATCTCCTGGCAACATTATAATGGACAATTCAGGAATTTTTACAAAATTAATTAAATTCTACAATGATGTCAGAGGTTAAAGTGTGTAAAATTTGAAAAAAAAACAAATTCCGCTCTGTAAATACATTATAATCTTTGCAATTTTTATAAAAATAAATTAATTTTATAAAAACCCCTAAATTGTCCATTATAATGTTACCAGGAGATTAAAGTAGAATATTTAAGCTTTATTTTGATATAACTTTAAAAAAAATCGGACCTAACTTGTTTTGAGATATTTAAAAGGTTATCTTTAAAACTTAAATTTTTTCTTTAATAATATTATTTTTTAAAAAGAATTTTTTACTGTCGTAAAGTTAAGAAATTTTTCTTTTTAAGACACTAATAGTAAATAAAGTTTGGATTCAATAAACATGAGAAATAATTATTTGAAAATTGCCTTACAATGGCAATTGTTTATAAAGAGGGCGTCGTTTTGAAATGGAATGTCTCATGTGTAAATTGAGAACAACTAATTAAATAGAAAGTGTCTTTTGTACTTATGAAATTTGGATAGTAGTGGACAATTTTTATTTTTTAGCTTAATAAATAAATTAATAATAAAAGAAAAAATTAGTAATAAATAATAAATGACAAAATTAAAACTGCAGCTTCCATCAATGATTTAAAATTTTTTAAATAATAAAAAACTTATTTACAATTTTAGGTTAATAAAAAAAACAAATGATCCTCTACTTAATTAGTAGTTCTCAATTTATACATGTTTTAACTTTTGAAACGATTGTGGACTTTAATTAATTTCCCAAAATCAATTGAAATGCTCAAGATAATTTTTACAGGAATTTTCTATAGAATTAGGTTATTTGTTTTAGAAAAAGATTTATATTATATAAATATAAAGTTATTATATTATATGTAGTTATTATATAAATATATAAAGTTATATTGACTTATTTTCGTCTGGAACATGTATATTCAATTCTGAGCAAATGTTCAGATGTATGTGTATGTATGTATGTATGTATGTTTGTCACAAATTATTGTGTACAAAATATCTCGGACAAATTTTAATGAATTGTCCTGAAATTTTACAGGTTTATTGCAGTCATTAATACCTAAATTATTTTTAAAAAATCTTTTTATTTTGTGATTTTAGTAACATGAAAATCATTCATGCAGAATATTACAATGTTTTAAAATTAGTCTGCAGACACTTTAGTTGAAATAAAATGTATTGACCATAATATAATTTTAAATGTTTATTTATTTTAAAGCACATTGAATCAGCATTAATATTATATTTGAGCCGTTCGCTCGAAAAACGACTTAAGTCGACTTAAGCGGTTTTTAAAAATTTTGTTATCAGTGTATTCTACAAGACATATAGATTACATATATCAAGTTTCTAAAGTTGTAGGTCACTATTTATGAATTAATTGAGGTGTTTAAACTTCCTGGGTCCCGAAATTGAAGCACTTACGCAAGCGCGCGTTCACGTCCTCTGCTACCGCGTACAGTGGGAAGAAATGCAGTGTTTTGGACAAAATTTTGCCGACAATACAAATCTCCACCGATTTCAATTTTCTTTTTTTTTAAATACTAAAGAAGGTTTTTCCTACAAGCCTTCACTGCTATAAATTTGAAATTTTCAAAAATTTTGGATTATTACAAAAGCGAGTAATTTTTTCATTTAGTTAACTAAACTTGTGCATTATATTGTTGATATTTAATTGAATATTACTAAAAAATATATCGTAAGACTTTTTAGAATAATAAATATGTTTTAATACATTAAAATAAAAGTGTTCTTTCATAAAATACTTAATTTTGTTTCATTTTTAGTGGTTCGCTGGAAAAACGACTTAAGTCATTTGTTATAAAATAATGTTATTAAAGTAGCAAAACATTGTTTACTCGACCTTCTTTTCTTTTAAAGAATTCTTTGATAATACCTTTGTATTGGGAAAAATGAGCGATATAATTAATACGTAAATTATATTAGTAATTCGTTTCTGAATCTTTAATTTAATTTTTTCGTCAAAAACTTAAGTCGACTTAGGTCGTTTTTCTAGCGAACGGCTCATTTGTATTTTAATCTTTAAATTTAAATAACAAAATATAAAATTATTTTCAATAAATATCAAAAATCTTGTTTGTTCAGGGTTGCCCCAAAAATTTAAGTTTGTTGTTCCTAATTTTCAGACAGAATTTTAACTTTTATTGACCCTAAAGAATATTTTGATTCACTCTAGAAATTATTGCGGATACTTTCAAAAATATTCCTAAAAATTAGGAATTTAGAATTTAGAATTTTTAACTAAAACATTATCTTTAAATCAACTATTAATCAAAAATACAAAAAAATTAGATTTTCGAAGATTTTAATTTAAAATCTTTTCAAAATTTAATTTGTTACTTCTAAACAATCATGCACTCTCTAAATCTGAATTAGTAGAATTCTACTAAAAAATAGTATAATTATACTAATTTTTATCAGTTTTCATAAATGACTTTTAACCTTTTCAATTAGCAGAATATTACACATGTTTAGTAAAATTCTACTAATGTTTTAGCAGAATTTCACTAATTAAAAGTCATTTTTTCACTAAATAAATTAGTGAAACTGTTTTATCGACTATTAATAAAACAGTTCTATTAATGATTAGTAAAATTTTACTAAAAAATTAGTGTAAAGCTTTACTAACAATTAGTAAAATTTTACTATTTGTTAGTAGAATTATTACTAAATCATTTAGTGAACGTCTTTTCACCATTTCATTAGTAACTTTCTACTAATTCAAATTTAGAGAATGCTATAATGCTTTTAATATTTAATTATTACTTAAAATTTTAACCGGAATTCATTTTTAAATTAATTTTTATCAGAAAGTTCTACAAGAATTAGAGTATTTAAATAAAAAATAAATAATTTATTCAATAATTGAATGTTGCTAAGAATATCATTTTTACGATGAATTTTTGTAAAAACTTTTGAAAATTATCAATTTTTTAAAAAATTTAATTAAAATACTAAAATTGTAATGATGAACTCTTTAATGAGTTGTATAACAATTTTTGAAAATAATCGCAGTTTGAACCAGTGAATATATTTAAAAATACAAAGTTTACAGCCAAAAAGTGAAAAATTACTAACAAAAATGTATCCAGTTAGAGTCAAATAAGAGAACACTTTACTTAAAACTATAAATTAAAGATGGCCCAATAATAAAATTATTTTTTGAAAAATGGATTAAAAACAATTCAAATTTTGGCAAAGAATTTTATTAAATTTTTTTTAAATAATTGAATTCCTTGCAAAGATTTATATTATTGATGAACATAATTTTTTTTTTTAGATAATGGAATTTCTTTAATAATTTTAATTAACAGTTTTCAAAGTACTTAAATTTTATGAGAAATTTCTTCAAGTTTTTAAAATTATGATATTTTTTAATAATTCAAATTAAACATGTAATTATTGAATAATATTAAAATAAAAAAAATATGATTAACTTCCTCTCAAAATTGTATGACAATTTTTTAAAATAATAAAAAAACATTTAAAAAATCTTATAAAAATATCGAGTCGACTCGAAAAAAGTACGGCTCGTATGTGAAAAAGGAAATTTAAATTTCGACTTTACAATGTAAAAAATAAAAAGTGACTTTTTACCCTACTTTACCATACACATTGTAATAGCCCTTTAGAGCACCTTTACGACATTTCGAAACCACTAGTAATTATTAAAGAATACATTGACACACCTAAAAAACATAAATGTAGATGACATGAAATTTCACATTTATCTCACCATAATATAATTTACACCAAATTTCTAATTTTGAAATCGTATTCATTTCAGATTTGCTGTTCGATAAATTAACGAAATTAGGCGTAAGAGGATACAATAGAGAAAGAAGAGTCAATAAAGTATGGCGATATTTGTCACAAAAAATATATTATGAACATAGTGTGTATAAAAAATCACAAATTTTATAAACTAGGACCTCTTACTCTTTTTAAGTTTTTTTTTATGTTTGATAAACAATACCTGCAACTTGCATAGCAAGTTTAAATATTAAATTAAGTATTAATATGAAAAATCGTTTTGTTAAGTGCAAGAGTTTAACTTAGTAATAAAAATATTAATTATTTTATGTGCTGCTTTTTTATTTTACAATACAAATTGTTTACTATTCAAAAACAGTTTTTCCCTTTTCAGATGGAAAGATTTCCGGAAAAACTCCGAAAACGACAAAGAAAATGAAAAAAATTTTTAATAAAAAATAGACTTAAAAAGTGACTAAAAATTAACGTAAAAAATTACGTCATTTTTTATCCCAAAAAATTACGTCCTTTTTTACGTCCTTTTTTACGTCAAATTTTACGTCATATTTTACGTCCTTTTTTACGTCATTTTTTATGTCAATTTTTACGTCACCTTTTACAATAGGGATGGCCGAAATTCTTTGTCAACATGGTGCTGTTTTGAGTGACAACGATTTGATAAATATGGCACCTCTTTGTAACGCAGTTTCAAAAGGGAACTTTGAAATGGTAAAGCTGCTCATGGCGAAAGAATGTAACAAAGTCGACATTTCAACTAAAGGTGGTTCTCCTCTTGAACTTGCAGTGTCATCTGGTCGTTTGGACATTCTTGAATATCTAATGATAAATGGTGTAAAAAGCATCGCAACAGTTAAGGAAGATAAACTAGGCTTATTTAGATCACTTATTTTTCAAGGCGGTTTGGAGACTTTAACATTTCTAGTCGATATTGGTATTAAAGCAATGAATTTAGATGAAGTATTTAATGCTACATTTTATTCGGGTCGTCATGACATGTGGAAATATTTAGTAACAAGGTTGTCGAAAATTAATGCAAATACGTATTTTAAAGAAACGCAGCTTCATTTGGCTATTCGAATGGGGCAACTGGAGACTGTCAAGGCAATTGTAAATGAACCATCAAACGAATATGAATCGGACACTTTCGCCAGAAAATTATCAGTTTACATTGCTGTTGAAAATGACAATGAAGAAATATTAGAAATTCTTCTAAACGCTGGTTATCCTGTTACTGACAGTCTGTTCAAATGTATAAGTCCTCTTCACCTTGCAGCAACATTCGAGCACCCGAGACTAGTGAAACTGCTATTGGAAGCCGGAGCTGATGTTAATTTGCAAACTGAAGATTATCACCATACACCATTACATTTCGCAGCAACTGCAGCGCAGCCAGCTGTAGTTAAATTTCTTCTAGATCATGGTGCTGATCCCTCTAAAACCTCTACAAGCGGTGAATTACCGTTAAAAACGGCTTTGAAGATTCATTCAGGCCCAATTCATGTATTCTTATCTATTACTCCTTCAGTGTTTGAGGAATTGGTAAAAGTAACGGATATGTTAATTCAGTATTCGAATAGTAAAAGTAAAGAAGATTTACTTATTGACTATGCAGCTGGAATAAGAGTTTCATCAAGTATCAATAATTCAAAGCCAAAGTCAAAAAGATTAATATCAGCTGTAGGTGATTCGGTATTTCGCCCAGAAATTGTTAGAAGCATATTTAATTATCTAAGTGAAAAGGAAATTATAAAAATTTCTGAGATATTTTTACTTGAATGTGATTCATCTGATTACCCGCCAGAGTTGTTTCAACTTATGATGGAATATAATATTGATGTGAAATCGTGTTTTGATATAAAAATATACACTTGCATTACAAATGACAAGTCTAAATTGCTCCTAATTGGTTACTCGAGAAACGTTCGTAATCTTTTAGGCACACTTTCAGAAATTATTAATGATTACGATGAAGATGAGAATGACGCAGAGAAGAAGATTAAAATAGAATTATTAAAATTATTATTTAGTCGTTTAGTATTGCTGAATACAAATTGTGATCTAACTCCGCTTGAAGATAGTGAATTAAATGATCTTATTGTTTGGCAAGAAAATTGTATAGAGGAGAAAAGTGTCATGCAAAGTACGAAAGTTAATGAAAATTTGAATTTCACTTTCTATGATGTATTAACGAAATCAATGGATAAAGTTGCAGGGTACGCAAATAACGAAGATTTTCTTACAGCAGTGAAATTTTCACAAATAAAATTTCCGATATATGCTGATTTTTTGAAGGGAAATGTCGAAATAGCAGAAAGAAGAAGAAATTGCATCGATAAGAGCACGACGTTAATGTATCGTATGGTTAAAAATTGTTACAGAATTCAAATTTCTACTTCTGATATTCGTCACATTCTCCAGTATCTCTCTATTGTAGATTTGCGAAAATTTTCAGCCGCTTGTTCTTAAAATGGAATTTCATGATAAATAATGGAAAGATCAGTTTTGTTAAGTAATTTATTATTCATCTTCCTATCAATGTATTAAAATATAATTTTAATTTTATAAATAATTATTAATATCATGTTAATTTCAGAGTTCAAATTTATAGATGTATATTGCGATTACATCGTGTTAACAAAGCTTTGTGCTTTAAAATCATTGTTTTGTATACATACGTCGGCAAATAAGCATTAACAAATTATGCGTTTATTAAAATTTTGTGTAAAACATTGTGACATTAAATAAAAAATTCGCTTTTTTTCTTTTTTAACCCTGAGTGACGCCTTTATTTTTATAGAGAATACATGAATTTGTTAATAATAATATACATTTCTTTTAAAGAAAAATGTAGGGTAAACTCGCCAATAATTACGGCAAGTGGTCCATAATTATGGCGACTTCTTGAAAATTACAATTATTTATTTTTTGGCATAATTATTTTTTTCTTCTGACATAGGTGCATACATACCTTTAGACATTGTTTACATGCTTGTAAAACCAGCCTTATTTTGAAGCTTTGTTTCACAGATGAAGTTTCCTTTCTATTACGGTTAATACTTTTATGGTTATAAATGTTTTCGTCTGCCTTTTGATGCTTTTGATTTATAAATAAATAATTATAAATCAAATTCTGTTTTTCATTGTACTTAGATACTTATGTAAAGTAAATACAAGTTAAAAAGTCTTGGTTTCTGTAACCCAAACATTGTAAAATGTCTTCATTATAGTTTAATGTTTCGTCATGGAAAATTGTCGAGTTTATAAAAGCGATATGTAGATATTACATTAATCATGGTTAGTATTTTTAATAGAAACTTATTTAATTATGTATTTGTTTATAGATATCAGTTTTTTAAATATATATATTAATAATAAGTAATGTTAACAATATCACAAAAACTTGATTGTATTTTTAATTATGAGATCAATGGCCACAATATTTTTACAATTTATTATTTTATTTTACGTTATACTTTACACGTAAGACACTGTTAAAAGCTTACTCTTACACTAGTTTAGTAACTTATAATTTTTATGTCTTTCAATTTACAAACAAAAATTTTTAACCAAATTTTCTTTTTAATATTACTTTATGCATTTATTAAAAAGTTGAGATGGATGTTTTAAAATCCCAACAAAAAAATCTTTGATGTAAAAAGTTCCGCCAAGTAAAAATTGTTGTAATTGTCCAAACAATTAAGGAAATAAAAGTTTACCTAGTAAAATTTATTTCTACAGTTTTAATATTGATTGATTTTATTAATATTACTAATCACATTTCCGAATTGAGACAATATGTTTCACGTTATATTTTGAATTGCGTAACAGATATGAAATTTAATTTCAATTCAATTGCAATGTTGAGTCAATTTTCTCGTCAAACATGAAGTCCCAAGCAGCGAATAGTAAAAAATGTTAAAGAAGTTGAATTTTTAAAGCAACTCCAGTAACATTTTTTATATGCGGATTATTTATGCGAATTTATAGTTACTTTAAATTTCTTAACAAAATTTTTAAAGTTTAATTTTTAAAAATTTTAGATTTTGAATAGTTTAATGTTTCCGGCTACAATTAACGAAATCGTGTAATGTTCCCAAGCATTAGGCCTTAGGTTTTAAAGGTATACGCACCACAGCAATATTTACCACCAACAGCTTTGATGAATTTGCAAAGCGTCTTTTTAAACAAATATTAATTCTCAAAATGGGCCTGTGGGACAAACCCCCATAGGATATTTTCATTGTATCAGAGTTTCACGAAAATTATTATTAATTAAAAGGTTTTTTTTATTAAAATATTTACTTTCAATAATGAAAAATAATTATCACTCTCCCCGAAAATATTAAAATTTATTTTGAAAATCTTAATTTCAAGATATTAAAAGATACCCTTCATGTATAGTCAGAATGATTTATGAAGTATCAGAGTTCTCAAAAATATCAAAGCCATTATTCTATAAAATTATATCAGAAAGAAAAAAAGTCATGAATCATCGGAGTCACAAAAAAGCATCAGAAAATCCTAAAGAATATAATCAATATGTCTAATTTGTTTTGTCATGATTATCTTTTTAGTACCGAATCCTTCCTCTATGAGGAAGCAATAAGAATTTATTTAAATAAGTAATACAGACTTTTTTATTTTTATTACAGAATATTTAATTGGAGCTGTTTCTCCTATTCGGGATTGTCGATCACTATCAAAGCTTCAGTAAATTGTACTCGGACCTAATTCTTCACCCTACTAAAAATAAAGTCACAAAACGACAAAAAAATCATCAGAATTTCTGACGTTCTGAGACTGCATTTGTTACGATTGCAGCCACATAACGTCAGGCTTGTGTCATTTTTCATCAGAAAACTTCAAAAGTAGTCAGATTTTTTATACAAAGTCGACACCCTCTTTTACCTGTAAAAAGGTCAACTGACCGTCATAAAATTGAAGGGAAATCTTTTTATTTGTTTATGTTTATATTTATTTAAACATTATACTTGTTTTTCATCGACTTAGAATTCTTCTCACAATATGTTCTTGTTATATAAACAATAATATATCCTTTAGAACTTAAATTCAAAAATGATATCAGTTTTTATTTATCAATTACGGTTTTCGAGATACGTTACAGTTTTCTTAAAAAAATGTTTTTTAAAATAAATTTTAGATATTTGCAATCGTGAAGATTTCTAGATTCTGAATTTATATTCATTTCACCTGAAATATTAAAATTGCAAAACTTTTGAGCAATAAAAATCAGGTTGAAGACCCGAAGCGCGTAACAATAGACTCAAAATTCTATTGTGAAAAAAGGGCTACGCACAAATTTCAAGTTTTTATGGTACTTTACATTTACCAACTATCTTTCGGTGGGGGACTGTAAATTAAAAAAATGAATTCAATGAGAAATAATCACAATCCATAAACATCAGTATTCAACAGTAGGAGCATAAAAAACCTTGTAGTCAGAATTAACCAAAAGCATCAGAAAACGTCAAAGTAGTCACAAAACATCAAAATTCTTCAGGAAACGTCAAAGTAGTCACAAAACATCAAAATTTCTGACGTTTTTTCATTACTCCTGATTTTATTTTTAGCAGGGCAATTTGTTGTCATGGATAGTTCAAATAATTACGACGATACTTCTGACTACAATGAATTGTTTCTCGCAGTCCACAAAGGAGAATTGAGTCGGGTTCATTCTCTGCTCGAGAAATACTCAGCGACTGAAACAATTCGTGGCAGGACGTTGCTGCATGTGGCGGCTGCAAGAGGACATGAACGGATTGCAAGACTATTCATCCCTAAGCGAGACAGAATTAGAGATACACCATTGCATCTGGCGATTAGGGAGAATCACCCTGAAGTATTCAATCTTCTTCTAGAGGAAATTAACCTGAATGCAAGAAATTTTAATGATGAAACACCACTTCACTATGCAGCTTTGTATAATCGTCCTGAATTCGCAAAGACACTTATAAATAATGGCGCCATTATTGAGAAAAAAGATAGTAAGGGTAGAACACCTCTTTATGCTGCCTTGGCGGAAGGAAACGTTGAAGTAGCAGAAGTTCTTTTTCAACATGGTGCTGTTTTAAGTGACAACGATTTAACTAATATGGGACCTCTTTGTAACGCAGTTTCAAAAGGGAACTTTGAAATGATAAAGCTGCTCATGGCGAAAGAATGTAACAAAGTCGACATTTCAACTAAAGGTGGTTCTCCTCTTGAACTTGCAGTGTCATCTGGTCGTTTGGACATTCTTGAATATCTCGTGAAGAATGGTGTAAAAAGCATCGCAACAGTTAAGGAAGATAAACTATGCTTATTTAGATCACTTATTTTTCAAGGCAGTTTGGAGACTTTAAAATTTCTAGTCGATATTGGTATTAAAGTAAAAAACTTAGATGACGTATTTAATGATACATTTAATTCGTGTCGTCATGACATGTGGAAATATTTAGTAACAAGTTTGTCGAAAATTAGTGCAAAAACGTGTTTTAAAGAAACGCAGCTTCATTTGTCTATTCGAATGGGCCAACTGGAAACTGTTAAGTCAATTGTAAATGAACCATCAAACGAATATGAATCGGACACTTTCGCCAGAAAATTAGCCGTTTACATTGCCGTTGAAAGTGGCAATGAAGGAATATTAGAAATTCTTCTAAACGCTCGTTATCCTGTTACTGACAGTCTGTTTAAATGTATAAGTCCTCTTCACCTTGCAGCAACATTCGAGCACCCGAGACTAGTGAAACTGCTATTGGACGCTGGAGCTGATGTTAATTTGCAAACTGAAGATTATCACCGTACACCATTACATTTCGCAGCAACTGCAGCGCAGCCAGCTGTAGTTAAATTTCTTCTAAATCATGGTGCTGATCCCTCTAAAACCTGTAAATGCGGTGAATTACCATTAAAAACAGCTTTGCAGATTCATTCAAGTACGTTTTATTCCTTACCTGTTTCTCCTTTAGTGTTTGAGGAATTGATAAAAGTGACGAAAATGTTAATTCATTATTCGAATAGTGAAACCAATGAAAATTTATTTTTACCCGCTGTTAAAATAAGAATTTCATCAAGTAGCAATAATTCCAATCCAAAGTCAAGAGAACTAATATCGTCTGTAGGTGATTCTGTATTTCGTCCTGAAATTGTTAGATGCGTATGTAATTATCTAAGTAATAAAAAAGTCGAAAGATATTCTAAGACAGTTCTAAATGATGATAATCCATCTCCATATTCACCAGATGTGTTACAACTTATGATTGACTATAATAATTCGAAATCATGTTTTGATATAGAAATTAACATTTCGAATGAAAATAACGAGTGCCAGTTGCTGTTAATTGGTTACTCGAAAAACGCTCGTAATCTTTTACGTACAATTTCGAAAATTATTCGTGAATACGTTATAGGATCCTATTATAACGATCGACATTATTTGAACTTTAATGAAGAGAAAAAGAATGAAGTGATTAAATTATTAAGATTATTAGTATGTCGTCTAGTATTGTTGAATGTAAAGCATCATCAAACTTTGCTTGAAGAATGTAAATTAATTGATCTTATTAATTGGCGAAAGATGTGTTTGAAGGAGAAAAGAGTCATGCAAAGTACAAAAGTTAATGAAAATCTGAACTTTACTTTCTATGATGTATTAACGAAATCAATGGATAAAGTTGCAGGGTACGCAAATAACGAAGATTTTCTTACAGCAGTGAAATCTTCACAAATAAAATTTCCTGCATATGCTGATTTTTTGAAGGCAAATGTCGAAATGGCCGAAAGAAGAAGGAATTTCATCAATGAGAGCACGACGTTAATGTATCGTATGGTTAAAAAATGTTACAGAATTCAAATTTCTACTTCTGATATTCGTCACATTCTCCAGTATCTATCTATTGTAGATTTGCAAAGATTTTCAGCCGCTTGTTTCTAAAATGGAATTTCATGATAAATAACGCAAAGATCAGTTTTGTTGAATAATTCGTTATGCATTTTTTTTCTACGATGAAGGAATTGTAATTTAAAGATTTATTTCCATGAAGGTGTTGAAAATTAGTTTAATCCTTAATAATAATTATTATTAACATAAACTACATTAATTACAAAGAGTTCAAATTTATAAATGTATAATATGTATATATTGCAGTTATATCGTTAACTAAGCTTTGAGCTTTAAGACAGTTTTTTGTACTTCGGCACATTAATATTTATATAAATTAAACGCTTATTATAAGTTCGTTTGAAATATTAATGTGACATATTAAATCATAAGTATGCTTTTCTTCTTTGTTAACCCTCAGTGAGGCCTTTATTTTCATATAGAGAATACGAGAATTTGTAAATAATAATATACATTTCATTAAAAATCTGAATCCTTAAAATTATTTTCAGATTTTAATTATTTAATCTATTTGTCAGTAATTCCTTTTCCTGTAGTTTTAAATAACTTTTAAATTGGTTATTAAAATTCGTCAAAAGAATTCAGTTATTTAAAATTTTATAGATAAAATTGTTTACGAGAATTCAATTTTAAGAAACATGCAATTATTCAATAAATTATTATTTTTATATTTAAATAATTGAATTCTAGTAGAATCTTCTCATAAACATTTTGATTTAAAAATGTATTTCAGTTAAAGTTTTAGATTAAAATTGAATTTTTTTGAAAGCATTAGAGCTTAAATTTTTAGAAGTAAATGAATTTTGGAAAGGTTTCAGATTATAATCTTTGAAAATTTGAATTTTTCCTATTTTTAACTAACAATTCTGTGGAATTAATTTTTTTTGAAAAACTTGAATTGCGGATTATTTTTGAAATTATTTAAAGTTTTTATTTTCTAATATTTATATTTGATTAGAGAATTCACGAATAATTGAAATTTTATAAAATTGAATTATAAACAAATAAATTTGAAAATTTTTAAAGAACTTTTTTAAAAAATTATTTAAAAATAATGGATTTATAGATGTTTAGTTAAAAACACGAAGAAAAAATTCAATTTTGTAAAAGTTACAAATTATTGCAAAAGTTCAATTATTTTCAAAAGTGTAATAATATTCTTCGCAAAAATTAAATTTTGTTTTAAATAAAGTAATAAAATTCTTCTTAGGGATTCAATTATATTCACGAATAATAAAGCTCATCGCAGAATTTCAATTATTTTTAATACAATTTTAATCGAATTTCTCGATAAAATGTAATTATGTATTATTCTTATTAACATTCGTTGATATATATATATATATATATATATATATATATATATATATAGAATTCAATTATTTGAAAATTTGTTGATGAGACGATTCTTTATATGGGAATTGAATTTATTTTAAGAAACATTCAATTATTCAATAAATTATTTATTTGTATTTAAATAATTGAATAATTCTAGTAGAATTTTCTAATAAGAATTGATTTAAAAATTAAACTCAACAAATGAAAAACATAACTTCAAATTTTTTGCTTCTTAGGTATCTTTCCTTTCTTTCAATTATTTTAATTATTTATCATTATTATAAAACATGAAGAAATCGATAACTCCGAGTCGAAGACTCGGAGTTATTGATTTCTTCATGTTTTATAATTATGAAAAATTGAATTTATAGTTTTTTTTTAAGTAAAAAAAATGCAAAGTTATTTGACTCGTCTTTCAAGACAATACGATGCGCTTACATTTGTTTTTGTTTTCTGCGCATCAAATCATCTTAGAAATCGAGATGGTTTTTTTTATTGTAAACTCAACCTTAAAGAAGGATAGAAATAAAAGAAAGCTTGTGACGGTGTGACTGCCCCATTATGCTCTTCACAAGTGACTCATCGTCGAACGCTGCCATGTGAACATCACCCTTAAGTTTGAAAACTATTTTTATTGTAAAAACAGGCTTATATGTCGATGTTTTTAGTAGAGCAAAGAGTCAGTTGTAGATACTCAATACTCTTTGACGTGATAAGCACCGGCATAACAAGCAAAAGCATTTTGTTGTATTGAAATACTTAAAAGTATCCGACTTTATTTTTTCTGTTTATAATCTTGATTCGAAATTTATTATTTGTCACAGTTGGAGAGTGGTGAATAGGTGGAAAATACAATTCTAATCAGTAGTAAAACGAATTTGAAATGGCTACTGTTTCGTATCAAATATCAAATCTGCTGGAAAAGGTACACAAAAATTTTACTTACATTAAATTTCTTTTTCTTTTTCTCCCTCGGTTTTCTTTTCCACGATATGTAAATGTATCGACTCGGCAATACGCTTTGCATTTAAGGTTAGCCTTATATCAGATGTGTTTTTAATTTTCCTCTTTCGAAAAATAAACCATGCTTTCTTCCAGGATTTTATATTTTGTTTTTTAAATTTAAATGCTTTCACGCCCGAGATTGAAAAGTCCGATGACATTTTTCTGTTTTGTATTTTTTCGCTTAAAAATATGAAATAATTGTTTGGTTTTATTTGATTGCTGTTTATTTGGAAAGTTTACCAATGTTAATATTCCGTCTCTATGCGATAATTAAATTTTCTCTTTTCACATAAGGTTCGCTTTGTAAAAAATTCATTTAGAAAAAATTAAAAAAGAAAGTACAAATGTATTTAGAGTTTAAAATTAAATTGAATGTAATAAAAAAAGTTTTGTTTTATTTCTCTTTTTGATTTAATATTAGTTTTCGTACTGTAATAATTAAGTGGACATTTTTTTTATTATTGCAGATGACATCCAGCGATAAAGATTTTAGGTTTATGGCGACTAATGATTTGATGACAGAATTGCAAAAAGACAGCATAAAATTAGATGACGATTCTGAAAGAAAAGTGGTTAAAATGCTGTTAAAGTTACTTGAGGATAAGAATGGTGAAGTTCAAAATCTCGCTGTTAAATGGTAAGAAATTAATTTTTACATGACACTTTTTTTAAGGTTGGATTGTATAAGTAGTGTGCATGCCGTAAAAAGTTTTGTGAATGCTTCCCACTCATCTACCAAAAATTAATATTTACTACTTTTTTATCATTTCCAAATATTTGGAAACTCATTTGCTTTCTCGTGGAGAATAAAAATTTCATAAACAGATGAACTTCAAAAGAATTCAATTTGAACTTTTTAAAAATTTCAATTTTAAATGTATTTAATTAGAAATTTTAAAGAACTTAAATTTTTCATAAATTTTAATAATTCAAATTCTTCTGAAATTAGTTCCATTTTTCAATATTTATTTAATTAATTACTAAAAATAATGGTTTTATAAAAGAATTTTAATCAAAAACACTAAAAAAAAATTGAATTTTGGAGAAGTTACAAATTATTGCAAAAATTCAATTATTTTCAAAAATAATAAAATTTTTTCCAGAAATTCAATTATATTCAAAAATTTTTTTTTTAAATTATCGGCAAAATGTCAATTATCTTTATAAATAATAAAATTCTTCTCCGAATGTCAATAATTTTCAAAAATTTTAATAAATTTCTTGGCAAAATTGCAAATATTTTCAAAAATATTCCTCAGGTCAATGATTTTCAATATCTACTATTTTAATAACATTATTTTTATAAATAATAAAAATGTTACAGAAATTCAATTGTTTTCATAAATAATAAAAGTTTTTACAGGGATTCAATTATTTTTATAAATAATCAAATGCTTTTTAGGAATTCAATTATTTTCATAAATAATGCAACTCATCACAGAATTTCAATTATTTTTAATACAAATTTAATCGAATTTCTCGAAAAATTTAATTATTCACAAAAATTTTATTAAAATTCGTCAAAAAAATTCAATTATTCATAAAAATTTTATTAAAATTCGTCAAAAGAATTCAATTATTTAAAATTTTTTTTATAAAATTCTTTATGAGAATTCAGTTTTGAGAAACATTCAATTATTCATTTTTACATTTAAATAATTGAATTTTGTAATGAAAATTGATTTAAAAATGAATTTTAGTTAAAATTTCATATTATAATTGAATATTAAAAGCATTATATCATGAATTTTTAGAAATAATTGAATTTTGAAAAGGTTTGAATTTGAAATCTTTAAAAATCTGAATCCTTCATCATTTAACTAACAATTCTGCAGAATTAATTTTTTTGAAAAAATTGAATTGAATTTTTTTTTTTTTTGAAATTATTTAAAGTGTTTATTTTTAATGTATATCTAATTGAAGAATTTTCAAATAATCGAAATTTCGTAAAATTGGATTTTAAACATATGAATTTGAAAATTCTCAAAGAACTTTTTCAAAAATTGTAAAAAATAATTTATTTAAAGAAGAATTTTAGTTATAAATTGCCAAAAATAATAATTGATTCGAAATGATGAAAATAATTTTGAAGAAGTTATATGGTAACAATTGAAAAATATAGATATTGTAACAATATTTTTATTAATATAAAATAATGATTTTATCACACGGTCATCTTCAATTTTATTAGAAGTTGTTGAATTTAATAAAGGTTTAAATTTGAATGTTTTGAAGAATTTTAATTCGTATGGAAAAATAATAACGATTAAATATTTACTTTAAAATGAAGTTATTGATGTTTTCAAATAATTTTACAATTAAAAAAATTCACAAATAAATGAAATTGAACTTTTTTTTTTGAGTATCTAATAATTTTTAAAGTGAATCTTAATATTCTTTAGGGTCAGGGAAAAAGTCAAAATTTTGTCTGAAAGTCAGAAAAAATGCAGGAAAAATCAAAATTAAATATTTGTTGCAATAATTTTTTTTTACAAATTTTCCTCTATGTACTTATTCATTTTTTTAGTATTTACCTAAACTTAAAATAAATATTTTTAAAAAAATGTGATGCTTGTGTTTGTACGAATTTCAAACATAGTATAACAAACATTTTGATTATTATATAAAAATTTCTACACACTTTTTTTTTATTTCTATATAATCAGAATTTTTTTAAAAATTGTGATTAGAAAATAAAAAATTGTGCAAATTTTTGTACTTTTTATTTAATTACTTGGAATTTTGTTAAATAACTTTGAAATAATATTGAATTTGAAACAATTATTTGCAGTTTGGGTCCTTTGGTGAATAAAGTAAAAGAGTACCAAGTCGAAACAATCGTGGATGCTCTCTGCACTAATATGGTTTCGGATAAGGAACAATTGAGGGATATTTCAAGCATTGGATTAAAAACTGTTATTTCGGAATTGCCGCTTGGATCAAGTGCTCTTGCTGCAAACGTTTGTAAAAGAATCACCGGCCGATTAAGCACCGCCATAGAAAAGGTTATTTTACACATTTTAATATATTATTATATAATTTGCATGATGTTCAATCCTGAGTTATATATTTTTTTTGCATATCTTGACTAATTTTTAAAAATTTAACAATTGTTTAAAAATATGTTTAAAAGCTTTAAAAAGCCATAAAAACTTATTTAAACAAAGAAATGAATGGTGTTTGTAGAAAAGTAAAAAATTATCCTAAAGAAACAACTCTATCTGTTTTCCACTCATTTACTATTATCGTTTGACTAACTTTTTTTTATTTCACAGCAAGAAGATGTACCAGTGCAACTTGAAGCTCTTGACATAGTAGCTGATTTACTTTCCCGATTTGGCTCTCTCATGGTGACATTTCACTCGGTCATTTTGGATGCTTTACTGCCACAACTTTCATCGCCACGACAAGCAGTTAGAAAGCGTACGATTGTCGCCCTTAGTCATCTCCTGACTTCCAGCAACAGTCAGTTGTACAACAAAATTCTCGATCACCTGATAAAAGTACTTTCGAGCAATAAGGCCAGAAATGTTATTCGTACCTACATTCAATGCATCGCTTCCATTTGGTAAATTCTAATCTATTCTGATTATATATTTTGTTAAAAAGATCATTTCATTATGTCCAATTTTGAATTCTAGCCGTCAAGCCGGTCATCGATTTGGAGAACACATAGAGAGGATTATGCCTTTAATTGTGCAGTTTAGCACTGAAGATGATGATGAACTCAGAGAATATTGTCTGCAAGCATTTGAAGCTTTTGTCTACAGATGTCCGAAAGAAATTACACCTCACATTAATAAGGTACATTTTTTGATTAAACACTCTTCTCTATAAACATGGCTAAGCTAAATGTTTTCTATCTAATTTTAAAATGTCATTTCAAATGTTTAGATTATAAGCATCTGCCTGATGTACATTACGTACGATCCAAATTACAATTACGATGACGATGAAAATGACGCAGCAGATGGAGATGGAATTGTGATGGAAACAGAAGAAGACGGAGAGGAAGATGTCGAGGATGAGTACTCAGACGACGATGATATGAGTTGGAAAGTACGAAGAGCTTCAGCCAAGTGTTTGGAAGCCGTTGTGTCGAGTAGAAGAGAACTTTTGCCTGAATTTTATAAAGTCATTTCTCCTGCACTGATCGCTCGATTCAAAGGTTAGTCACATTAACTGTATTATTTTATTTCACAGCTTTAATTCACATGATTCGTGTTATACTTCTTCTAGCGAATGAAATCATTCTTAATAATTCAAGTATTTTACTTTACATAACGTAATTAGTACTTATTTCGTGTTTCTATAAAAAAAGAAATCCTCAAAGTCAACTTTATTATTTTTATTAAATTGTCCGCTTTTTTTAATTTTGGGCCCTAAACGTACCCTATTTTGAAAATTCTTCCTATTCTTTTCGTCGCAGGAAATACATTTTTTTTGAATAATTTTTAAGTAATTCTGCAGAAGAATTCAATTATTTTCAAAACTAACAAAAATTCTCCCCATAAAATCAATTATTTTTTGAAGGATTTTTGATAAAATTCTTTTCCAAAATTCAATTAATTTGATAAATATCAAAATTCTTCTCAAGAATTCAATTATTTAAACAAAATTTAATAAAATACTTTTCACGATTTCAATTATTTTTATAAATTTTAATGAATATCTCGTCAAGAATTCAATTATTTTTATAATTAGCAACATTTTTCGCCAAAAATTCAATTATTTTCAAAAATTTAAATACAATTCTTTGCAAAATTTCAATTATTTTCAAAAGTTTTTCGCAAAAGTTTTTAAAAATTCATTTACAAATTCAATTATTTTCATTGCAGAATTTCAAATATTTTTAATAGAATTTAAAATAAAATTCCTTGAAAAATGTAATTATTATTAAAAATTTTTTTTTTAATTTGAGGAAAGAATTCAATTTTAAGAAACATTCAATTATTCAATAAAACAATAAAATTCGTGGAAAATAATTCAAATAATAATTCGTTTGAAAATAATTCAAATATTTTCATAAATAACAATTAAATCGTCGGAGAAAATCAATTATTTTCAGAAATTTTAATAAACTTCATTACAAAATTCAATTATCTTGACAAACAACAAAATTCTTCCAATAAAATCAATTATTCTACGGAAATTTAATGAAATTCTTTTCCAAAATTCAATTATTTTGATAAATATCAAACTTCTTCTCAAGAATTCAATTATTGTCAAAAATTTTAATTAATTTCTTGGCAAAATTTCAGTTATTGAAAAACAAAATTTAATAAAATACTTTACACGAATTCAATTATTTTTGTAAATTTTTAATTAAATTTTTAATATTTTCATAAAATTTATCAACAGATTTAATTACAGAAAAAAACTTTTTGATATAATTCTACGAAAAATTTAAATTATTTTCATAAATAATAAAATTTCATTTACGAATTCAATTATTTTTAATTGAATCATCGCAGAATTTCAAATATTTTTAATACAATTTTAAATAAATTCCTTGAAAAATGCAATTATTGTTTAAAAAAATTTATTAAAACTTGAGGAAAGAATTCAATTTTAAGAAACAGTCAATTCTTCAATAAAACAATAAAATTCCTTGCAATAATTGAAATATTTTCATGAATACAGGGCGCGGATTGTGCGACTTTTTCGACTTTTCTAAGGAAATGTGACTTTTTTCGACTTTTTTGTGAAAAAATGACTTTTTTTTTAAATAAATATTTAATTATTATTTTTCCATAAGAAATAAAATTCTTCAAAAGATTCAAATTCAAACCTTTTTGAAATTAAACAACTTATAAAAAATTGTTATAAAACATGAAGAAATCGATCACTCCGAGTCTTCGACTCGGAGCAATCGATGACTTCATGTTTTATTACAATAATTAAAGATGACCGAGTGATAAAATAAAATCATTATTTTATATTATAAGACTTTATAAAAAAAAAATTTTAATTATTTTTTATGAAAATAATTGAATTGTTGAGAAGAAATTTATAAAACATTAGGAATTAATTGAATTTTGCAGAATAATTTTGATATTTACAAAAATAATTGGAATTTTGAGAAGAATTTAAAAAAAATTTCGAAAATAATTGAATTTCTGCGAAGAATTTTCCTACTTTTGAAGATAATTGAATTTTATTATTTATGAAGAGAATTGAAATCTTGAACAGATTTTTTTAAAAATATTTAAAGTAATTGAATTTTGCAGAAGAATTTTCTTACTTTTGAAGATAATTGAATTTTGTAAAGAATTTTATCCAGAAAATTTGAATTTGAAAAAAAAATTTGAATATAATTGAATTTCTGCGAAAAATTTTTCTACTTGTGAAGATAATTGAATTTTATTATTTATGAAGAGAATTGAAATCTTGAACAGATTTTTTTAAAAATATTTGAAAATAATTGAATTTCAGCGAAGAATTTTCGTATTTTTGAAGATAATTGAATTTTGTATTAGAATTTTATCAGAACTTTTGAAAATAATTAAATTTCCATAGTGAATTTTATTATTTATAAAATTTTGACGAGAATTTAAAAAAAATTTTTGAATATAATTGAATTTCTGCGAAGAATTTTATTACTTATAAAAATAATTGAATTTCAGAGAAGAATTTTATTATTTATAAAGATAATTGAAATTTTGACAAGAATTTTATTAATTTTTTTTTTAAATAATTGAATTTAGGAGAAGAATTTTATCATTTATAAAAATATTTTACATTTTAAAGAGAATTTTTAAAAAAATGTTAAAAATAGCTAATTAAAATTTTGCTTTGAATTTTATTAAATTTTATTCCGGATTGTTTGATATTAAAGTATCTGTTGTCGAGAAATGTGATTTTTTTTACAATTTTGACAATTTCGTGTTTCATTTTTGTCGTTTTTTCCAAAATTTCATGCGACTTTTTCTGAACTTTTCGTGACTTTTGTTATGAATTTATGCGACTAAAGCGACTTTTTTTGAGTCTTAAAGTCGATCCGAGCCCTGTGAATAACATTTAATTCGTCGCAGAAAATCAATTATTTTCAAAAATTTTTAAGTAATTTTGCAAAAGAATTCAATTAGCTTGATAAACAACAAAATCGCATAAATTCTTCCCATAAAATCAATTATTCTAAGAAATTTTAATAAAATTCTTTTCCGAAATTCAATTATTTTGATAAATATCAAAATTCATCGCAAGAATTCAATTCTTTTGAAAAATAATAAAATACTTTGCAGAAATTAAATTATTTTCAAAATTTTTTAAAAATTCTCGTCAAGAATAAATTGAAATTTCGTGAAAAATTTTATTATTAGTGAAAGTAATTGAATTTATTATTGTGAAGAATTGTATAAAAAATTTTGTTAAATAATTGATTTTTTTGAAAATCTTTCGAAAATACTAATTCTAAATTAATTGAAATTGAAATTTTATTATATATATGAAAATAATTGAATTTAGGATGAATTTTATCAATTTTTTTTTAAATAATTGAATTCTTTTGCGAAATTTGATGAAAATACTAAATATTGAAAATAGAATTTGGAATATTTTTTGAAAATAATTGAATCGTTTTAAAAAATTTGATTATAATTTTTGAGAATAGTTTTTTGAGTTCTAGTATTAGCGAATTTAAAGTAGTGGAAATTCTAAAAAAAAAAGAGAAGCAGAAGTAAATGAGTGCGACGCTTGTAATTGTAATTAAAATTGAAACAAAATAATTACGCGGCTCTCGACTTTCCTCCTGCCTCGCGGTCATTAAATAGTCATAACTATTATATTTAATTGTAAACTATTAATAGTTTAGAATTATATTAAAGTATTCATCTTTTCTTTAATTTTCCAAAAAATTATTACAAAAAAATGAAAAATGTTTTTATTGTATGTTTAGAAAGAGAAGAAAATGTGAAGTCGGACATTTTTCACGCATACATTACAATGTTGAGGCAAACGAAACCAGCAACTGGAGTTTCTCTCGATCCGGATTCAATGGAAGATGAAGAGGGACCAATTTCATTGCTTCAACTGCAAGTGCCCCTAATCGTTAAGGCAGTGTACAGACAAATGAAGGAGAAGAGCATCAAAACAAGACAAGATTGTTTGCTGCTGCTCAAGGAATTAGTGTTGGTCTTGCCTGGAGCGTTGACAAATCATATACCAGCTCTAATTCCTGGAATTCAGTATTGCCTTGGAGAGAAGAATTCCTCGTCCAACATGAAGATTGACACACTTGCTTTCATTCATATTCTTTTAATCACTCATAAACCTGAAGATTTCCATGAGCAAATGTCTGTTTTGGCTCCACCAATAATCGTCGCCGTTGGTGATCCGTTCTACAAAATTACCGCTGAAGCGCTTTTAGTGTTGCAAGAGTTGGTCCAAGTTATTAGACCTCATGGTATGTTACGGATTATAAATTTCGATTTTTAAAACTCGTTTTTACTATCACCGTTGTGATTATTCTCTTTCTAGATAAAGTCTACAATCACGATTTCACGTCTCTCTCAACTGATATCTATCGCTGCACACTTTTGAGATTGAGAACGGCCGACATTGATCAGGAAGTAAAAGAACGGGCGATTGCTTGCATGGGTCAGATTTTGGCTCATTTTGGAGACACTCTTCATGACGAGCTTGTTGTATGCCTTCCGATTTTCCTTGACAGGCTCAGAAATGAAATTACCCGCCTTACGACTGTTAAATCTCTCACTTACATTGCAGCCTCACCATTAAGAGTTGATCTCAAGTCTATCATGGTATTTTTTTTTGTTTCACTTTCAATTTCTTTTTTTTATTTTCATAAACTTTTTTCAAACGTTTAACATACTTTACATTCCAGGCAGACGCGATTCCTGTTTTAGGATCATTTTTGAGAAAAAACCAAAGAGCTTTAAAATTGTGTTCTTTAACACTTTTAGATACTTTAGTACAGAATTACAGTTCTGCTCTAAATTCTGATCTACTTGATAAGGTAAAGGAATCTCTTTGAAGTAGAAAGATTTATGGCTTTTAATATATATATTAGTTAGTAATTGTTCATTATATAAAAAACGTGCAATTTACAGGTTACAGTCGAGCTTCCAGCATTATTAAACGAATCTGATTTACATATTGCCCAACTGACTCTTACACTTCTTACGACTATTGCAAAATTGCATCCTGTTGCACTAACAAGGGTTTCTGAGAATATTTTACCTGAAATACTCGTTTTGGTCAAATCCCCTCTTCTTCAAGGTAAGTGCAATTTTTTCATACTTTTTACAGTATTTTTTATTTACTTCCTTGATAACTTAGATCAAAGAATACTTTTCAATTTACTTAAATTTAAATTTTATTAACACATGGTTGCCGCAAAGCCTGGAAATCCTGGAAAACCTGGATATAGTTTCAATAAAAAAAAACCCCAAAAATTTTGTCTTTCTTTTTGTTTAAACAATCATAACTTTTTATCCTTAAGTCAAAAGTTAAATTTTACTTTAAATTGTTTGTAAACTTATAATTATTTTTTACACTATAAAAATCGAAATTTTAAATTGCATTTTACACTAAAAATGTATTTTCGTATTTTGTTGCAATATTTGGAAGAAAAGTCGAAAAAGTCGCATTTTTTGAAAATTGTTTAACCATTGTTAAATAATTTTAAATTGATGGATTTTGGTAGAATTCGATATGAATAATGAGGAAGCTTTCGAACAAAATGATTTTTTTAATGTGGTCCAAATTTTGTTTTAAATACACATTTGAGATAATTAAAAAATTCCAAACAGGTGCTGCACTGAACTCAATGTTGGAGTTCTTTCAAGCTTTGGTTCAGGCAGGAGTTCCTGGTCTCAGCTATCGTGAACTGTTATCAATGCTTGTGGCCCCAGTGAACATTCCACAACTTCACAAACAGGCTTATCACTCCTTGGCGAAATGCGCTGCCGCCCTGACGATTATGTGGCCCCAAGAAGCAATAGGTGTGGTTGGCCAATTTTTAAAGGACGTTCAGAATCCACAGAGCGATGCCAGGCATATATTTGCTTTATTAGTCATTGGAGAAATTGGTAGACACGTGTAAGTTCATTTTTTCCATTTCTTATTTCGATTTTTTCAAAGAAAACAAAATTTAATTTTTCTATTTTTACAGAGACTTAAGCAATATCAGTTCATTGAAAGTAATTATTTTAAATTCATTCTCAACACAATCCGAAGAAGTGAAGCAAGCAGCAAGTTATACACTCGGAAATATCGCTGTTGGCAATCTTCCCGAATATTTGCCTTTTATCCTTAAAAAAATTGAAGCTCAACCAAAAAAACAATATTTGCTGCTTCATTCATTGAAAGAGGTAATTATTTTTTAAATACATTTTTATATTTATTTCTATACATTTGGAGAATTGTTTAATTTGTATTTTTGAATCTGTTTGTAGATAATTACGTGCCAATCAGCAAGTCCATTGGGAGTCTCGCATTTACAAAACTTTGTGCCTTCAATTTGGTTATTATTGTATAGGCACTGTGAATGTACAGAGGAAGGTACAAGAAATGTGGTTGCAGAATGCCTTGGTAAATTAACTTTAATCGATCCAGCATCATTGCTTCCAAAGTTGCAAGAATCTCTCAATTCTACATCCGCGTTAATGCGCACGACAGTCGTTACTGCCATTAAATTCACCATTTCTGACCAGGTATTTAACTAAATAATCACCGAACAAGATAAAATACTTTGTTCAAAAATTATTCCTCAATATATTTATGAATTGCAGGCTTCGCACTCATCTACTAAAACCTACTATTTACTACTATTTGGGTACTTTTTTTAGATTTCAGACACTAAAATCTACTATTTCTGTTTCTTTTTTTTTTAAATTTCCACTACTGCAAATTTGATAATACTAGAAATCAAAAACCTATTTTCATATATAATAATTCTAATCATTTGAAAATCACCAGAGTTCTAGTAGGGACTGAGCCCAACCCAATCCAAAAAAATAGAGAATTTTATTTCAATTTTTAAGTAGTAGCACCCTCACCCTAACGCTATCAGACAATCAAAATTTGTTTAAAATGAAAATAAAAATTAATTTTTTCTAAATTTAATAATTCTACTCATCTGAAACTTACCAGAGTTCTAGTAGGGACTAAGCCCTACTTAATCGTAAAGAATAGAGAATTTTATTTCAATTTTTAAGTAGTAGCACCCTCACCCGAACGCTATCAGACAATCAAAATTTGTTTAAAATGAAAATAAAAATTAATTTTTTCTAAATTTAATAATTCTACTCATCTGAAACTTACCAGAGTTCTAGTAGGGACTGAGCCCAACCCAATCCAAAAGAATAGAGAATTTAATTTCAATTTTTAAGTAGTAGCAGGTCCACCCGAACGCTATCAGACAATCAAAATTTGTTTAAAATGAAAATAAAAATTAATTTTTTCTAAATTTAATAATTCTACTCATCTGAAACTTACCAGAGTTCTAGTAGGGACTGAGCCCAACCCAATCCAAAAGAATAGAGAATTTAATTTCAATTTTTAAGTAGTAGCACCCTCACCCGAACGCTATCAGACAATGAAAATTAGTTTAAAATGAAAATAAAAATTAATTTTTTCTAAATTTAATAATTCTACTCATCTGAAACTTACCAGAGTTCTAGTAGGGACTGAGCCCAACCCAATCCAAAAGAATAGAGAATTTAATTTCAATTTTTAAGTAGTAGCACCCTCACCCGAACGCTATCAGACAATGAAAATTTGTTTAAAATGAAAATAAAAATTAATTTTTTCTAAATTTAATAATTCTACTCATCTGAAACTTACCAGAGTTCTAGTAGGGACTGAGCCCAACCCAATCCTAAAGAATAGAGAATTTTATTTCAATTTTTAAGTAGTAGCAGGTCCACCCGAACGCTATCAGACAATGAAAATTAGTTTAAAATGAAAATAAAAATTAATTTTTTCTAAATTTAATAATTCTACTCATCTGAAACTTACCAGAGTTCTAGTAGGGACTGAGCCCAACCCAATCCAAAAGAATAGAGAATTTTATTTTAATTTTTAAGTAGTAGCACCCTCACCCGAACGCTATCAGACAATCAAAATTTGTTTAAAATGAAAATAAAAATTAATTTTTTCTAAATTTAATAATTCTACTCATCTGAAACTTACCAGAGTTCTAGTAGGGACTGAGCCCAACCCAATCCAAAAGAATAGAGAATTTAATTTCAATTTTTAAGTAGTAGCAGGTCCACCCGAACGCTATCAGACAATCAAAATTTGTTTAAAATGAAAATAAAAATTAATTTTTTCTAAATTTAATAATTCTACTCATCTGAAACTTACCAGAGTTCTAGTAGGGCCTAAGCCCTACTTAATCGTAAAGAATAGAGAATTTAATTTCAATTTTTAAGTAGTAGCAGGTCCACCCGAACGCTATCAGACAATCAAAATTTGTTTAAAATGAAAATAAAAATTAATTTTTTCTAAATTTAATAATTCTACTCATCTGAAACTTACCAGAGTTCTAGTAGGGACTGAGCCCGACCCAATCCTAAAGAATAGAGAATTTTATTTCAATTTTTAAGTAGTAGCAGGTCCACCCGAACGCTATCAGACAATGAAAATTAGTTTAAAATGAAAATAAAAATTAATTTTTTCTAAATTTAATAATTCTAATCATCTGAAAATTACCAGAGTTCTAGTAGGGACTGAGCCCTACTTAATCGTAAAGAATAGAGAATTTTCTTTCAATTTTTAGGTAGTAGCACCCTCACCCGAACGCTATCAGACAATCAAAATATGTTTAAAATGAAAATAAAAATTAATTTTTTCTAAATTTAATAATTCTACTCGTCTGAAAATTACCAGAGTTCTAGTAGGGACTGAGCCCAACCCAATCCTAAAGAATAGAGAATTTTATTTCAATTTTTAAGTAGTAGCAGGTCCACCCGAACGCTATCAGACAATGAAAATTAGTTTAAAATGAAAATAAAAATTAATTTTTTCTAAATTTAATAATTCTAATCATCTGAAAATTACCAGAGTTCTAGTAGGGACTGAGCCCTACTTAATCGTAAAGAATAGAGAATTTTCTTTCAATTTTTAGGTAGTAGCACCCTCACCCGAACGCTATCAGACAATCAAAATATGTTTAAAATGAAAATAAAAATTAATTTTTTCTAAATTTAATAATTCTACTCGTCTGAAAATTACCAGAGTTCTAGTAGGGACTGAGCCCAACCCAATCCAAAAGAATAGAGAATTTAATTTCAATTTTTAAGTAGTAGCAGGTCCACCCGAACGCTATCAGACAATCAAAATTTGTTTAAAATGAAAATAAAAATTAATTTTTTCTAAATTTAATAATTCTACTCATCTGAAACTTACCAGAGTTCTAGTAGGGACTGAGCCCAACCCAATCCAAAAGAATAGAGAATTTAATTTCAATTTTTAAGTAGTAGCACCCTCACCCGAACGCTATCAGACAATGAAAATTAGTTTAAAATGAAAATAAAAATTAATTTTTTCTAAATTTAATAATTCTACTCATCTGAAACTTACCAGAGTTCTAGTAGGGACTGAGCCCAACCCAATCCAAAAGAATAGAGAATTTTATTTCAATTTTTAAGTAGTAGCACCCTCACCCGAACGCTATCAGACAATCAAAAATTGTTTAAAATGAAAATAAAAATTAATTTTTTCTAAATTTAATAATTCTACTCATCTGAAACTTACCAGAGTTCTAGTAGGGACTGAGCCCAACCCAATCCAAAAGAATAGAGAATTTAATTTCAATTTTTAAGTAGTAGCAGCCCTCACCCGAACGCTATCAGACAATGAAAATTTGTTTAAAATGAAAATAAAAATTAATTTTTTCTAAATTTAATAATTCTACTCATCTGAAACTTACCAGAGTTCTAGTAGGGACTGAGCCCAACCCAATCCTAAAGAATAGAGAATTTTATTTCAATTTTTAAGTAGTAGCAGGTCCACCCGAACGCTATCAGACAATGAAAATTAGTTTAAAATGAAAATAAAAATTAATTTTTTCTAAATTTAATAATTCTACTCATCTGAAACTTACCAGAGTTCTAGTAGGGACTGAGCCCAACCCAATCCAAAAGAATAGAGAATTTTATTTTAATTTTTAAGTAGTAGCACCCTCACCCGAACGCTATCAGACAATCAAAATTTGTTTAAAATGAAAATAAAAATTAATTTTTTCTAAATTTAATAATTCTACTCATCTGAAACTTACCAGAGTTCTAGTAGGGACTGAGCCCAACCCAATCCTAAAGAATAGAGAATTTTATTTCAATTTTTAAGTAGTAGCAGGTCCACCCGAACGCTATCAGACAATGAAAATTAGTTTAAAATGAAAATAAAAATTAATTTTTTCTAAATTTAATAATTCTACTCATCTGAAACTTACCAGAGTTCTAGTAGGGACTGAGCCCAACCCAATCCTAAAGAATAGAGAATTTTATTTCAATTTTTAAGTAGTAGCAGGTCCACCCGAACGCTATCAGACAATGAAAATTAGTTTAAAATGAAAATAAAAATTAATTTTTTCTAAATTTAATAATTCTAATCATCTGAAAATTACCAGAGTTCTAGTAGGGACTGAGCCCTACTTAATCGTAAAGAATAGAGAATTTTCTTTCAATTTTTAGGTAGTAGCACCCTCACCCGAACGCTATCAGACAATCAAAATATGTTTAAAATGAAAATAAAAATTAATTTTTTCTAAATTTAATAATTCTACTCGTCTGAAAATTACCAGAGTTCTAGTAGGGACTGAGCCCAACCCAATCCTAAAGAAAAGAGAATTTTTTTTCAATTTTTAAGTAGTAGCAGGTCCACCCGAACGCTATCAGACAATGAAAATTAGTTTAAAATGAAAATAAAAATTAATTTTTTCTAAATTTAATAATTCTACTCATCTGAAAATTACCAGAATTCTAGTAGGGACTGAGACCAACCTAATCCAAAATAATAGAGAATTTAATTTCAATTTTTAAGTAGTAGCAGGTCCACCCGAACGCTATCAGACAATCAAAATTTGTTTAAAATGAAAATAAAAATTAATTTTTTCTAAATTTAATAATTCTACTCATTTGAAAATTACCAGAGTTCTAGTAGGGACTGAGCCCTACTTAATCGTAAAGAATAGAGAATTTTATTTCAATTTTTAAGTAGTAGCACCCTCACCCGAACGCTATCAGACAATCAAAAATTGTTTAAAATGAAAATAAAAATTAATTTTTTCTAAATTTAATAATTCTACTCATCTGAAACTTACCAGAGTTCTAGTAGGGACTGAGCCCAACCCAATCCAAAAGAATAGAGAATTTTATTTTAATTTTTAAGTAGTAGCACCCTCACCCGAACGCTATCAGACAATCAAAAATTGTTTAAAATGAAAATAAAAATTAATTTTTTCTAAATTTAATAATTCTACTCATTTGAAAATTACCAGAGTTCTAGTAGGGACTGAGCCCTACTTAATCGTAAAGAATAGAGAATTTTATTTCAATTTTTAAGTAGTAGCACCCTCACCCGAACGCTATCAGACAATCAAAAATTGTTTAAAATGAAAATAAAAATTAATTTTTTCTAAATTTAATAATTCTACTCATTTGAAAATTACCAGAGTTCTAGTAGGGACTGAGCCCTACTTAATCGTAAA